ACATACAGTTACAGGTATGGTTAATATAGAATACATACAAACACAGGTATGGTTATAGTAGAATACATACAGTTACAGGTATGGTTAATATAGAATACATACGGACACAGGTATGTTTATAGTAGAATACATACAGATACAGGTATGGTTAATGTAGAATACATACGGACACAGGTATGGTTAAAGTAGAATATGTCCCCTTGTCGAAGACCCGATTCGCTCCTAGGCAGACTGATGTTGTTTTGGTTTGATTCTGTGAATAAGTCATAGCCAGATGGACAACTGCAGGAATAACCTGGGCTTTCTTCATTACAGGTGTTACTGCAGCCTCCTTTGTTAACTGAACACTCAAGTATGTCTGTAAAATACAAAACCTCACGCATTACATTGGCACTAATAACACATGGTATATACGTCTTATACAGATTTTCAAAAGAAGGTGTATGGTTATCATCTATGATTGCATGATGTTTTATAGTTGCTTAAAACAAGAGGCCCAAAGGGCCTGAATCCCTCACCTGGATATCTAAGCAATCATGGCAAAATATTCTCCAAATGAGATCCAAGGGAATATGCCAGACCACAAGGCCAATCCTTGTAGCATATCTGTATTAGATTTTTCATGCCCAGCAATTTTATGTATGGTTATGGGGTGGGGATCTCAACTGTTTCAAATGTATAACCCAGAAACTAAGTTCCTAGGGGTAGGGAAAGACCCCAGGGCCTATATTTACATCATGATTGTGTTTATCTCTTGATGCCCAGCAATGCTATATATGGCTATGGGGTGGGGATCTCAACTGTTTCAAAGATATAACCCAGAAACTAAGTCCCTAGGGGTGGAGAAAGACTCCAGGGCCTATTTTTACATCATGATTGTGTTTATCTCTTGATGCCCATCAATACTATATATGGTTATGGGGTGGGTATCTCATCTGTTTCAAATATATAACCTTGAAACTGAGTCCCTAGTGGTTGGGAAAAAACCCAGGGCCAATTTTTCCATCATGATTGTGTTTGTCTGTTGATTTTCCAGCAATACTATATATGGTTATGAGGTGGGGATCTCAACTGTTTCAAATATATAACCTTGAAACTAAGTCCCTAGTGGTTGGGAAAAAACCCAGGGCCAATTTTTACATCATGATTGTGTTTGTCTGTTGATTTCCCAGCAATACTATATATGGTTATGGGGTGGGGATCTCAACTGTTTCAAATATATAACCTTGAAACTAAGTCCCTAGTGGTTGGGAAAAAACCCAGGGCCTATTTTTACGTCATGATTATGTTTATCTCTTGATGCCCAGCAATACTATATATGGTTATGGGGTGGGGATCTCAACTGTTTCAAAGATACAACGATCCATAACATATATACAATATTGACCCCATCGACCCTAACACTTGACCCCAGGGCCATAAATTTCATAAATTCAAAAGAGAGCTAGTTGATGATTATAATTAAATGTGCCATTACTCTCTGCGTCTTGAAGGAGTAGAGAAGAAGATTTTTAAAGATTACCCCATTTTTTACCTATTTGGCCCAGCTTCTCAGTCCCCTGGGGGTGCAGCCCCATAAATTTCATAAATTCAGATCCCCATGTCCTAGTGATGTTCCATGTCAAGTTTGGTCAAAATTGGCACAGTAGTTTTGAAGAAGAAAATTAAATGTATAAATACATACTTACATAACAAGTAAACAATATTGACCCCGCCCTACCTCTTGACTCCTTGACTCCAGGGCCATGAATTTCATAAATTCAAAAGAGGGCTAGTTGATGATTATAATTAAATGTGCCATTAATATTACTTGTAGGAGTAGAGAAGAAGATTTTTAAAGATGACTCCATTTTTTTTACCTATTTGGCCCCGCCCCTCAGACCCCTGGGGTCTTTTAGCCCCATAAATTCAGATCCCCATGTCCTAGTGATGTTCAATGTCAAGTTTGGTCAAAATTGGCCCAGTAGTTTTGAAGAAGATTAAAATGTAAAAAGTTGACGGATGACAGACGACGGATGACAGACGACGGACGACAGACGACTGACGATGGATGCTGCGGTATGCCATATGCTCACTTGGCCCTTCCGGCCAGGTGAGCTAAAAAGTACATATAATGCTTGCCATGAAGTGTGGTAGTGCTTCTTTCTTCTAATTTCCATTTTCAAAAAAGTATTAATTATGGACCAGAAATGTGTTTATAAGACACGAATACTATACTCCCACAGTTAAGAATTAAAACAAGATCACAGAGGTCAGCATCAAAGGTCAATGTTACAAAAAGTCAAGCTACATGCTGTACTCATAGTGGAGCATATGCATTTGTATCTGGTTATGCCATCTATTCCAATTGATGGTATAACCAGGTAGAGTATTTGTCAAGCTGTAGCATTTGATTTAAAAGACAAATAACCACTTTTTATAAGCAAAATTGATTGTTTATTGATTATTTTTGACAACAAAGACAACTGGAAATCACTCAACCAATCAGAACTGAGCATTTCAAGTATGAGTTCTGACAAGATTTTCACTGTTTATCAAAACTGATTGTTGTTTAATTATTATTTTTGACAACAAGAGTTCTGATAAGATTTTCACTGATTATCATCCACATGTATCTGTTTTTTTACTTGCCTGGTACCACAATGAAATTTTAATTTGACATATTTATCTTCTGCATACCATGTAAATATAAAATAACCGACACTAACCGTGAAATAACCAATATAATTCTGTGCTGATGATTATTCACATGCATCAATTCCTTGCTTGCCTGTTACAACAATACACTGGTTTGATTTGGTAGATAAATCTGTGGCCTATATATGATAGGTGTCGGTAAAGACATGATGGGTGTCGGTAAAGACATGATGGATGTAGGTAAAGAAATGATGGTGTAGGTAGAGACATGATGTATGTAGGTAAAGACATGATTGGTGTAGGAAAAGACATGAGGGGTGTAGGTAAAGACACGATGGATGTAGGTAAAGGCATGATGGATGTCGGTAGAGACAGGATGGGTGTCGGTAAAGCCATGATGGATATAGGTAAAGACATAATGGTGTAGGTAGAGACATGATGGATGTCGGTAGAGACATGATGGATGTCGGTAGAGACATGATGGATGTCGGAAAAGACATGATGGATGTAGGGAAAGACATGAAGGGTGTAGGTAAAGACACGATGGATGTAGGTAAAGGCATGATGGATGTCGGTAGAGACATGATGGATGTAGGAAAAAACATGATGGGTGTCAGTAAAGACATGATGGATATAGGTAAAGACATGATGAATGTAGGTAAAGACATGTTGGATGTAGGTAAAGACATAATGGTGTAGGTAGAGACATGATGGATGTAGGTAAAGACATGATGGATGTCGGTAGAGACAGGATGGGTGTCGGTAAAGACATGATAGGTGTAGGTAAAGACATGATGGATGTAGGTAAAGACATGATGGTGTAGGTAGAGACATGATGGATGTAGGTAAAGACATGATGGATGTAGGTAAAGACATGATGGATGTAGGAAAAGACATGAAGGGTGTAGGTAAAGACATGATGGATGTCGGTAAAGACATGATGGATGTCGGTAAAGACATGATGGGTGTCGGTAAAGACATGATGGATATAGGTAAAGACATGATGGATGTAGGTAAAGACATGATGGGTGTAGGTAAAAACATGATGGATGTCGGTAAAGACATGATGGGTGTAGGTAAAGACATGATGGGTGTCGGTAAAGACATTATAGGTGTAGGTAAAGACATGATGGATATAGGTAAAGACATGATGGGTGTAGGTAAAGACATGATGGATGTAGGGAAAAACATGATGGGTGTCAGTAAAGACATGATGGATGTAGGTTAAGACATCATGGGTGTAGGTAAAGACATGATGCGTGTCGGTAAAGACATGATGGATGTAGGTAAAGACATGATCGGTGTAGGTAAAGACATGATGGATGTAAGTAAAGACATAATGGGTGTAGGTAAAGACATGATGGGTGAAGGTAAAGACATGATGGGTGTAGTTAAAGACATGATGGATGTAAGTAAAGACATGATGGGTGTAGGTAAAGACATGATGGGTGTCGGTAAAGACATTATAGGTGTAGGTAAAGACATGATGGATATAGGTAAAGACATGCTGGATGTAGGTAAAGACATGATGGGTGTAGGTAAAGACACGATGGATGTAGGTAAAGACATGATGGGTGTAGGTAAAAACATGATGGATGTCGGTCAAGACATGATGGGTGTAGGTAAAGACATGATGGGTGTCGGTAAAGACATTATAGGTGTAGGTAAAGACATGATGGATATAGGTAAAGACATGCTGGATGTAGGTAAAGACATGATGGGTGTAGGTAAAAACATGATGGATGTCGGTAAAGACATGATGGGGGTAGGTAAAGACATGATGGGTGTCGGTAAAGACATTATAGGTGTAGGTAAAGACATGATGGATATAGGTAAAGACATGAAGGGTGTAGGTAAAGACATGATAGGTTCAGGTAAAGACATGATGGATGTAGGTAAAGACATGATGGATGTAGGTAAAGACATGATGGATATAGGTAAAGACATGATGGGTGTAGGTAAAGACATGATAGGTTCAGGTAAAGACATGATGGATGTAGGTAAAGACATGATGGATGTAGGTAAAAACATGATGGGTGTCAGTAAAGACATGATGGATGTAGGTAAAGACATCATGGGTGTAGGTAAAGACATGATGCGTGTCGGTAAAGACATGATGGATGTAGGTAAAGACATGATGGGTGCAGGTAATAAGGATACAGGTGTATATATGGCTGTAACAGATCAAACTTCTGGTGCTGTAAAAGAGCAGTTTTGATTACCTTGACATATGAGTGTGATCAATCAGTTCTCACCTTTCACCAAGGCATCTGGGGTTTGGTTCCCCGATCAGACTTGAAAAGGAATAGGGTCAGCTGCCCAACCACATGGTTTTTCTATGGACACTCTGGTTTCCTCCCACCCGTGCGCTAACATTCGGGCCAACAACAGTGCTTATTATAAGTTGAAATTACTAATTTAATAAGTGTTGTAAAATGATTAAATTTGGCATTTTTGACATTACCTTGACATAAGGAGGTTGATGAATTCCTGAAGTAGCCATCCTTACAGTAACACATAAAGCCCCCAATGGTGTTGTCACAGTCCTCAAATGCACTACATTTGCTCGGAACGTCTTTACACTCATCAATATCTACAAAAGGTAGCATGTTACACACTTGAAATGAAAGTCTAAATGATGAGTTTTAAACTGAAAGAAAACATCATATAGCAATGTCGAATAGGTGTTCCCCACTTGCGAGTTCTTATAACTTAATGCAAGGAATTTGGCAAACCTTTTCCGAGACTTCAGATTTCTTGTAATAACACGAGAGTGAATATTCCCCACCTAAATACATAATAAAGGATGACTTCCTCCTATAATTCAGACAGCTATTTTTAGATTTTAAGGAAAGGTTTCGAAATTGTATTTTTCTCGTTTGACCATTATCACAAAATCCAATACAACATATGCATTTTTTTTCTCGCATTCTTTTCAACTTTTCTTATCTATTTAGCTATGACTTCTCTTTCAACCCCTAGGGTTTGAAAGGTCAGTAACACTCAACCAGGAGCTGAAATCAGAGCATACATTAGTTGATAAACTATTTTGTTGACAAATTGTTTCTGAAGGAAACAAAATTCACAAGACTGTTTTAAATCAATAAAATAGTGGATTTGTTGGATTTAAAGAAAAACTATATTTTTGTTGCATACAACACAGATGCAATATTTACAATGTCTCCATGGTTATGTTTACACATAGACAGACAGAGGAACTTTAGATTCAATCGAAAACAGAACCCAAGGCATCAGAAAGTAATATATTTGGACTTTCAAGAATCTTAACATTCAGTTTGACATTTGTTTGTCATATCCTCTTGGTAAACAAATATTCTATCAAACCTACACTCCTTGCTTACACTAGATATCCTTATCCTTCACTCCTTGCTTATACTAGATATCCTTATCCTACACTCAATGCTAATACTGGATATCCTTATCCTACACTCAATGCTTACACTAGATATCCTTAACCTACACTCCTTGCTTACAATAGATATCCTTATCTTCCCCTCCTTGCTTACACTAGATATCCTTATACTTCACTCCTTGCTTACACTGGATATCCTTATCTTACACTCCTTGCTTACACTAGAGATCCTTATCCTACATTCATTGCTTACACTAGATATACTTAACCTACACTCCTTGCTTACACTAGATACCCTTAACCTACACTCCTTGCTTACACTAGATACCCTTAACCTACACTCCTTGCTTACACTAGATACCCTTAACCTACACTCCTTGCTTACACTAGATATCCTTATCTTCCACTCCTTGCTTACACTAGATATCCTTATCCTAAACTCAATGCTAACACTGGATATCCTTAACCTACGCTCCTTGCTTACACTAGATATCCTTATCCTTCACTCCTTGCTTACACTAGATATCCTTATCTTACACTCCTTGCTTACACTAGATATCCTAAACCTACACTCAATGCTTACACTAGATATCCTTATCTTCCACTCCTTGCTTACACTAGATATCCTTATCATACACTCCTTGCTTACACTAGATATGCTTATCCTACACTCCATGCTTACACTAGATATCCTTATCCTACACTCCTTACTTACACTAGATATCCTTATCCTACACTCCTTGCTTACACTAGATATCCTTATCCTACACTCAATGCTTACACTAGATATCCTTATCTTCCACTCCTTGCTTACACTAGATATCCTTATCCTACACTCAATGCTAACACTGGATATCCTTATCCTACACTCAATGCTTTAACTAGATATCCTTAACCTACACTCCTTCCTTACATTAGATATCCTTATCCTACACTCCTTCCTTACACTAGATATCCTTATCCTACATTCCTTGATTACACTAGATATCCTTAACCTGCACTCCTTGCTTACACTAGATATCCTTATCCTACACTCAATGCTAACACTGGATATCATTATCCTACACTCAATGCTTACACTAGATATCCTTGACCTACACTCCTTGCTTACACTAGATATCCTTATCCTACACTTAATGCTTACACTGTATATCCTCATCCTACACTTAATGCTTCCACTAGATATCCTCATCCTACACTTAATGCCTACACTAGATATCCTCATCCTACACGTAATGCTAACACTGGATATCCTCATCCTTCACTTAATGCTAACACTGGATATCCTCATCCTTCACTTAATGCTAACACTGGATATCCTCGTCCTACACTTAATGCTAACACTGGATATCCTCATCCCACACTTAATGCTAACACTAGATATCCTCATCCTACGCTTAATGCTAGCAATGGATATCCTCATCTACACTCCTTGCTTACACTAGATATCCTTATCCTACTCTCAATGCTAACACTGGATATCCTCATCCTTCACTTAATGCTAACACTGGATATCCTTATCCTATACTTAATGCTAACACTGGATATCCTCATCCTTCACTTAATGCTTACACTAGATATCCTCATCCTACACGTAATGCTAACACTGGATATCCTCATCCTACCCTTAATGCTTACACTAGATATCCTCATCCTACACTTAATGCTAACACTGGATATCCTCATCCTACACTTAATGCTAGCAATGGATATCCTCATCCTACACTCAATGCTAACACTGGATATCCTCATCCTACACTTAATGCTTACACTAGATATCCTCATCCTACACTTAATGCTAACACTGGATATCCTTATCCTACACTTAATGCTTACACTGGATATCCTCATCCTACACTTAATGCTAATACTGGATATCCTCATCCTACACTTAATGCTAACACTGGATATCCTTATCCTATACTTAATGCTAACACTGGATATCCTCATCCTACACTTAATGCTAACACTAGATATCCTCATCCTACACTTCATGCTAACACTGGATATCCTCATCCTACATTTAATGCTAACACTGGATATCCTTATCCTACACTCAATGCTAACACTGGATATCCTCATCCTACACTTAATGCTAACACTGGATATCCTTATCCTACACTCAATGCTTACACATGGGAGTAACATAACACACAATATTTGCCAATTTTGGCCGGGGTTGTTTGTTTACTAATAACATATGATCTTTATACCTTCATCTTTTTATTTCTTTTTTCAAAATCAGCTGCTTTTTTTAAACATTTTATGTATAAACAGATTAACTACAATCCAACACAAAACATCATCCATTCTAGCCACAGCTATCATACAAGTATATAAAATGCTAATAAAGAAAAGTACAAACCGACACAGTCTTCTATGTTGGAAAATGTTCCATTTGCTCGACAGGTGACAGAAATTACTGGTGAATTGGTCACGTTCCACTTATAGCCATTAGAACAATTAAGCATTCCTGTAGTATCGAAAGGAACACCATCCTCTCTTGTCCAAAAGGCATTCATCACAGGTACCAACGGGCAGGTCAGCGCTGACAAAATGTCAAATTTGGAAGATTAAACACCAAAAAAAGAATAAACAAACATCATGAATAATTAACTGATCAAAATAATTAACAAAAGGCCCAGAGGGCCTGTATCACACATGGATAATAAAGCAACTATGGAAACAATATTACATATGATACTGCAACTATTTCCAAATATTGGCTTTGTTTCTCAGCAACACCTGTCCCTCATTAGGTTCCTTCTTTCTGCTTTATTTCCCCAATTGGGCCCCACCCTTCTGCAACCTAAAAGAATCCGTCCCTTTAAACAAAATTGAGCTCTGGATCGAATTTGGTTAAAATAACTGTAATCATACTGAAGGAGAAGGATTTTAAAGATTAACCTCAATTGACCCTATTTCCGCAGCCACATCCTCCGTTTATACAAAATTGAGTCCCTTCACCTAAGGATGCTCTACACAAAAGTTGGTTAAAATTCCTCCAATCAAATTGAAGGAGACAGATTTTAGAGATTTAGCTAAATTTCCCCTCTGCCCAAAGGGGGGCCATATCCTGTTTACCAAAATTGAGTCCCTTCTGTTCAAGGATGCTCTACACAAAATTTGTTAAAAATCCCTCAAATCATACTAAAGGAGAAGGACTTTAATTACTTATTACTGCGTTACCCCTATTGAGCCTTGCCCCTGCCTCCACTTTCCGTTTAAATAAAATTAAGTCTCCTGCCCAAGGATGCTCCAGGCCAAATTTGGATATAATCCCTCAGATGGTACAGAAGAAAAAGGAGTTTAAAGATTTAAACCTCAAATTCCCCTAGTGGGCTCTGCCCCTCTGTAATCAGAGGGGGCCATAGGATATAATCCCTCAGATGGTACAGAAGAAAAAGGAGTTTAAAGATTTAAACATCAAATTCCCCTAGTGGGCTCTACCCCTCTGTAATCAGAGGGGCCATACCCTCCGTTTATACAAAAGTGAGTCCCCTTTGCCCAAAGATGCTCCAGGCCAAATTTGGATATAATCCTTCCCTCCAATGGTACAGAAGAAAAAGGATTTCCCTAGTGGGCCCCGCCCCTCTGCCACCAGAGGGGCCATACCTTTGTTTATATAAAATTGAGTCCCCATTGCCAAAGTATGCTTCAGGCAAAATTTGGATAAAATCCCTCCAATGGTACAGAAGGATTTTAAAGATTTAAACCTCAAATTCCCCTATTGGGCCCTGCCCTTCTACACCCAGAGGGGCTACACCCTCCGTTTATACAAAATTGAGTTCCCTTTGCCCAAGGATGCCCCAGGCAAAATTTAATCAAAATCCATAATGATGTTCAGGACTGGTAGCGTTTTAAAGGAAAAGTTAAAGGACGGACAACGGACGGACAATGGACGCCGTGTTTCGCCATGGTCCTACGGACCTGGTGAGCTAAAAACTGATAAACAATAAGTCAATACAGGAAAAATACTTTAAAACACTTTTAAATATGAAATACAATCAATTTTTTTTTCTTGTAGCCATGATTGATAGTACTATCACTCCTATGTTATACCAATCATATAGTTCCAGAAGAGTGTTGTTTAAAACAATGCGGCTAAATTTCAAACTTTGACCCTGGTACCCTGGGAGATCAGGCCCTCCATTTAAACAGTTTTGAATACCTACCACTTACAGGTGTTTCTGGTAAAATTGTGAAAATAAATTCAGTGGTTCATCAGTAAATGTCATTTGAAAAAAAAAATGTTGATGGACAGAGAACTAACACTGAAGTACAGCATAAATATCACCTTGGACATGGTGAGGAAAGTATTTTCTTTACATATATACAAAACTCTTAATTAAAATATTGTTGGTGATGGTTTGCAGTTGTAACCAAGACATCACAAGATAAGTTAATATACAAACCTTTACATGTTGGCACACTATGAGACCAGGTCCCATTGGTTTGGCAGTAAGCAAAACTGGGACCGACTGTCTCGTATCCTTCTTCACAATAGTACTCTATGACATCACCATATTGGTTCTGTGTGGCAGTCAAATTCCTGATGTTTCCATTGACAACGGTTGGCAATACGCCACAGCTGGTACCTGTAAACCATTAAATTACAATACAAAATCCTTCAAATTTTTTAAACTTGAAACTTGAGTGACACTCATAATTGTCTAAGCCATTCAGAGGTAATGGTGGCCATTTTAAATCTCAAAATTAAAAAATTGGTCATTAGACTTAAGTATTACTTAAGTCCTTGTTTGATTTCTTGAGTAATAGCGATACAAGAATTGTCTAAAGATGGATGACAGACAGACAACAGCTGGGCAAAATGACAGGCGACAGACCATGAACAATGAGCAATTTGAATAGCCCAATACTATCTGATGATGGTGGGCTAACAAATCCTATGGCAGAATGAAAGAACAAGAAAATTGAAGAAAAGCATTAAAATGGCTAAATCAGAGAGAAGGACTCGGTAAACTGTTAGACCAGGTAAGCAATGGATCAGACTGAACATCATTATTAACTACACCAAATGTTGTAATACTTACTTGTACATGAAGGTGCGTTATCCCATGTACCGTCTGCCTTACATTTGATGGTGGCAGAACTGCTCAATACAAAGCCGTCCTCGCACACATATGTAACATTTCCACCGTATACAACTGTTCCAGATGCCTCTTGAATCCAGCCATTCGATATCTTTGGTGGAATTGGACAGTATGTAACTGAAAAATAATCACAAAAATATTGGTCATGATGATGATTGTGTTTTATTTCAAAACAAAATGATGAAAATAAAACATATGGACCTCAGTCTAACACTAACTTGATTAGATTAGATTGAAATAAATTTTGATAGTTAATTCAACATACCATTAAATTTGTATTCATACAATGCTATGCTTTGATAGTTATGATGACTGTTACATTTGGCTCCAATATCGACAACAACTACATAATTACTGGCTTTATTTGAGAATTAACAGCCTTGATAAATGACAATAGGGCAATAAACTCTATATAGCTATACATAACTCCTTAATGACAGTAGGGCCACTATACAACTATATATATCTCCTTAATAACAGACCATAGGGCCACTCTACATAGCTATATATATATATTAACAGCCTTAACAACTGACAATAGGGCCACTATACAACTATATATATCTCCTTAATAACAGACCATAGGGCAACTCTATATAGCTATATATAACTCCTTAATAACAGACCATAGGGCAACTCTATATAGCTATATATAACTCCTTAGTAACTGACAATAGGGCCACTCTATATAGCTATATATATATTAACAGCCTTAATAACTGACAATAGGGCCACTCTATATAGCTATATATAACTCCTTAATAACTGACAATAGGGCCACTCTATATAGCTATATATAACAGCATTAATAAATGACAATAGGGCCACTCTATATAGCTATATATATAAACAGCCTTAATAACTGACAATAGGGCCACTCTTTATAGCTATATATATTAACAGCCTTAATAGCTGACAAGAGGGCCACTCTATATAGCTATATATATTAACAGCCTTAATAACTGACAATAGGGCCACTCTATATAGCTATATATAACAGCCTTAATTAATGACAATAGGGCCACTCTCTATAGCTATATATATTAACAGCCTTAATAACTGACAATAGGCCCACTCTATATAGCTATATATAACAGCCTTAATAAATGACAATAGGGTCACTCTATATAGCTATATATATTAACAGCCTTAATAACTGACAATAGGTCCACTCTATATAGCTATATATATTAACAGCCTTAATAACTGGCAATAGGGCCACTCTATATAGCTATATATTTTAACAGCCTTAATAACTGACAATAGGGCCACTCTATATAGCTATATATAAGAAACAGCCATAAAAAAATGTTAGTTTACAACGTCTGGAAATATCTCAGTGGGGTGTGTCCCTTCGGGCAAAGTCCTTAAGAGGGATGCAAGTGTGTGAACCTGCAGTTAAGCAGTGTTTTTCAATTTCATAACATTAGTAAGTGGCAACTATTATTCTTATATGTAAACCATAAGATTACAACGATAGCACTTTTAACTGTAAATTAAATGAATATCTACTTTTTTATAAAGTGTCCCTAGAAACCTTCTGATGCTTTATCGTACCAAACCAGAAAATGTCTAAAGGACATGAATGAGGAGGCACGTGCACAGTAATATAGTGGTAGGACGCAGGACTCGTGACCGATGGGTTGCGGGTTCGAGTCACGGCACCACACTTAACTCCACTTGTTTCAGTCTACTCATCTGTAAATGAGTACATGGTTGGGCAGTGCTAAAATTGTTGAATGCTAGCTGTGAGCACCAAAATGGCAACACCGGCTGTATGCTCCCCAGGGAGTTGAGAAAGATATCGGCTAGTTGAAAATTAAGGCCCTATATATAAAACCGCGGATAATAATTTGTGAAAGCTTTGAGACGACCTACGAACTAGGTTGCGATAAAGCAGTATATAAGAACCTCAAATTATTATTATTATTATTAATGTCCAACCTCCAATACATATTATTGTCATTGTTCGACTTATTTCTATATAAATATTAACAGAAAAATCTTGACTTTGAAACAACTAGAACTGTAAGCGAAAGGCTAACTAATACCCCCGCTCCTATATAAACCAGAACTGTAAGCGAAAGGCTTACTAATGCAAAGCAATATAGTCTCCCACCAGTAATGAGTTAATCACTATTTTATTAAAAACAAAAAAATATAATAACAAAAAAAGTATTTTGCACAAAGGGCATAACCCCATCAAAAATGGTCGAAATCCCAAATTATATTGCAGGTGCACAACTTCATAAGATACCGATCATTCATGCAAAGTTTCAATGAAATCCACCTGTTAGTTAAGGAGTAGTTGCGCGGACAAGTATTTCGCACAAAGTGGCATAACTCCATCAAAAAGGGTCGTATGATGACATACAAATTACCTCAAAGGTGTTCTGCTATGTGACAATTGCATAAAATTTTATCAAAATCCCTTCAGAAATTTGAAGTTGCTAAAATGATGTCACTGAAATGGTTGACAAATCCCTATTGATAGTTGTGATGATTTTGGCCTGGACCCTGAAATCCTGAAAAACAAACTTCTGTGAGATTTTTCTGATTCATAACCTCTGTATAGAGTTTTAAAAAAGTCTTTGCAGAAATTCAATCCCTAGAGCAAGACAAGTGACGATCACAAGGTCATGTTAACAGATGGAAAGCATTATCAAATACACTGTTAACCTGGAAACTTTCGTGCTAAAATTTATGTTCACTCAGTGTAAATTTCCCCCTTTACAATATTTGGTATAGTTTGTACTTACATTCGCTGTCTTGATAAATACGCTCTTATTGTGGCGATCGAAAAAGGGGGAAATTAAACTGAAGCGAAGGTTTCTAAGTATACAGTTATATCCTACACGGAGGGCAGATAAAAGTCTGGTGTCAAAACTCTATGCATAAATATAAACATAAATTGGAAACCAATGTAAGATCTTCCATACATCTTTCATGACATATATCAAACAGTGCCTAAAAGACTATTAACAGTTCTTAATACTCACTCCTACAGTCTGGATTGCGAGATACATTCCACTTTCCGCCTTCCTCACAAACCATCGGTACAACATCCATTGAGTTGTATTCTTCTTGCATGAAAGAATATCCATTCATACAAGTGACACTGATGCTGCTTTCGAATGATGTGTAAGGCATTTCAGAATATGCAATATTCGTCTCCTGTGATGTCGTCCAAGGCTCACAGTCTGTAAAACCATATAGAAACACCCATTAACATTTACCTTTTGTATCGATTAAATGGTATCCATACTGGATTTATGATCGACCCGAACCTGCGAACTTTGTTAAGTTCAAGCACAGGGGTTCGTTACATACAAATGTTATACATGTACTGATATGGGTCACAGCACACATAACATAAATTTATGTGTGCTGTGACCCACATCAGTATAGCATTTGTGTATTTCAGACATTTGTAACGAACCCCTGTCGTTCAAGGAGAACTTACACATGAAAACTGAGGAAAAGTCCTCTTGTACTTTTAAGAGTTAGACATAACTAGAACTGTTTAATTATAGACATAAGTATAGACATAAGTATAGATAATGATAGACATAAGGATAGACATAAGGATAGACATAAATATAGACATGAGGATAGACATGAGGATAGAGATAAGGATAGACATAAGGATAAACATAATGATAAACATAAGGATAGACATAAGTATCGACATAAGTATAGACATAAGGATAGACATAAGGATAGAGATAAGGATAGACATAAGTATAGACATGAGGATAGACATAAGTATAGACATAAGGATAGACATAAGGATAGAAATAAGGATAGACATAAGTATAGACATAAGAATAGACATAAGTATAGACATAAGGATAGACATAAGGATAGACCTAAGGATAGACCTAAGGATAGACCTAAGGATAGACATAAGGATAGACATGAGGATAGACATAAGTATAGACAAAAGGAAAGACATAAGGATAGAGATAAGGATAGACATAAGGATAGACATAAGGATAGAGATAAGGATAGACATAAGGATAGGCATAAGGATAGACATAAGGATAGAGATAAGGATAGAGATAAGTATAGACATAAGGATAGAGATAAGTATAGACATTAGGATAGAGATAAGTATAGACATAAGGATAGAGATAAGGATAGACATAAGGATAGACATGATGATAGACATGAGGATAGACATGAGGATAGACATAAGCATAGACATAAGTATAGAGATAATTATAGACATAAGGATAGACAAAAGGATAGACATAAGTATAGACATAAGGATAGACATGAGGATAGACCTAAGGATAGACATGAGGATAGACATGAGGATAGACCTAAGGATAGACATAAGGATAGACATAAGGATAGACATATGGATAGACATGAGGATAGACATAAGTATAGACATGAGGATAGACATAAGTATAGACATAAGTATAGAGATAAGGATAGACATAAGTATAGACATAAGGATAGACATAAGGATAGACATAAGGATAGACATAAGGATAGAGTTGAGTATAGACATAAGGATAGACATAAGGATAGACATAAGTATAGGCATAAGGATAGACATGAGGATAGACATAAGTATAGACATGAGGATAGACATAAGCATAGACATAAGTATAGAGATAAGGATAGACATAAGTATAGACATAAGGATAGACATAAGGATAGACATAAGTATAGGCATAAGGATAGACATGAGGATAGACATAAGTATAAAGATAAGGATAGACATAAGTATAGACATAAGGATAGACATAAGTATAGACATAAGTATAGAGATAAGGATAGACATAAGTATAGACATAAGGATAGAGTTAAGTATAGACATAAGGATAGACATAAGGATATACATAAGTATAGACATAAGGATAGACATAAGGATAGACATAAGGATATCCATAAGTATAGACATAAGGATAGACGTAAGTATAGACATAAGTATAAACATAAGTATAGACATAAGTATAGACATATGTATAGAGATAAGTATAGACATGAGGATAGACATGAGGATAGACATGAGGATAGACATGAGGATAGACATGAGGATAGACATGAGGATAGACCTAAGTATAGACATAAGTATAGACATATGTATAGAGATAAGTATAGACATGAGGATAGACATAAGTATCGACATAAGGATAGACATAAGGATAGACATAAGAATAGACATAAGAATAGACATAAGTATAGACATAAGGATGGAGATAAGGATAGACATAAGTATAGACATAAGGATAGAGATAATTATAGACATGAGGATAGACATAAGTATAGACATAAGTATAGACATGAGGATAGACATGAGGATAGACATGAGGATAGACCTAAGTATAGACATAAGTATAGACATAAGTATAGACATAAGTATAGACATGAGGATAGACCTAAGTATAGACATAAGGATAGACATAAGGATAGACATAAGTATAGACATAAGGATAGAGATAAGTATAGACATAAGGATAGAGATAAGGATAGAGATAAGGATAGACATAAGTATAGACATAAGTATAGACATACGGATAGAGATAAGGATAGACATAAGGATAGACATAAGGATAGAGATAAGGATAGAAATAAGGATAGACAAAAGTATAGACATAAGGATAGACAAGGGATGAACATTGTTGTGCATCTCAACAGCACCATGTAATGATAATGAGCTAAAATAAAACACCAACATTTATAGGTACAATGTATACAAAATTACAAATGATTAATATAAACCCAACAAATCAAATAACAACAGACAGAAAACGTATTGAAAAATAAAAGATCCCTACCAATAGAATATTTGAGTTCAAAACCAGCTCCACTTCTCACGTTATCAGATGTAAACTCGATCTTGAAGTAGCCAACATCTGACAGGAGGCGCATTGGACTAGAGATTTCACCTGTGAAGCTTGTTGAAGAAGAGCTAGTAGCATTGTAAACCTGAAAGTACACAAATGAGGCCCAGAAGAGCCTGTATCACTCATCTGTTTGTTTTGTTACATGGAGTTGTTAGCCAAATATTGTGAAGTTAGGTTGATTGGATATTCAGAAGCGGTTGAAGATTTACAGTTATTTGACCCCTGTGACCTTGAAAGTATACGTAGGGCAAGGGCATATTCATGTGCGAATGTTGTTGAACACAAACACAGGATGCTGGTGGGGGAATAGGAGCAGGACTTGACACGTTTCCGATATTCAGAAGTGTGTTGAAGGGTTTTGTTTGTTGCTATTTGCTTATCGTTTTAGCAACAGTTGTTATGGACGCATGACTGACATATGACTTTGAAAGTATAGGTCAATGTCATTTTCATTCGCAAACTTCATAGGGTTCCATCATAGGATGCTACTGGGCAGGTGAGCCAAAAAGTGTAAGGTGTGGGGCTGTAATTCTATAAACAATTCCTATTTCATAGGTTATTTTTTAACCATGGATAATAATTTGTGAACCACTTTGAGACGATCTACGAACTAGGTTGTGATAAAGCGGTATATAAGAACTTTGAATTATTATTATTATTTTTATTACTTAAGGGTAATCAGATCTTCAGAAGTCGATTGAATGTTTAGACCTATTTCACCCCTGTGACCTTGAAGTATGTCAAGGTCATTTTCTTTCGCAATCTTTGTCAGACTCCATCATACAATGCTTCTGGCTAAATAGCATGACTTTAAGCCTTTTGAATCTTCAGAAAAACAGGGTTTGTAGGTTTAGACCTATTAGTCTTTGACCCCTGTGACCTTGAAAGTAGGTCAAGGTCATTTTCATTTGCAAACTTTGTCGGGCTCCATCATAGGATGCTACTGGCCAAATACAATGACTTCAGGCCTTTCGGATCTTAAGGAGAAGTTGTTTGAAGCTTTAGACCCATTCGACCCCTGTTACCTTGAAGGTACCTCAAGGTCATTTTTCATTCGCAAACTTTGTGGGGCTACATAATGGGATGCTACTGGCCAAATATGACTCTGGGCCTTTTTGATCTTCAGAAGAAGTCGTTTAAATGTTTTGACCTAGTTGACCCCTCTGACCTTGAAAGAAGGTCAAGGTCATTTTCATTCGGAATCTTTGTCGGGGCCCATCCCAGGATGTTACTGGCAAAATTTCCTATTTCATAGGTTATTTTTTAGTTGGGTTTTTTTCACAACTTTTTTTTATTGCCCACAACATTTTAAATACGGCCAGGGTCGGGGCCCTGGATTCAATATCCTTACAAAAAATGTCCTCATGCAAGAGGGCTCTCATTTATTTATTCATTCTTTCATTCAGTCAACTTATTCATTCATTCATTTCTCTTCATTACATCCTTTCTTTTACATTTATTCCTTCAAGTTTACATTCATTCACTCAATCAATGTTTCATAGTGATATCACCATTGTAATTCTGAGTGTTAACAACATTGAATGCATGAATGAATGAACAATTGAATTAATAAATGAATGAACAATTGAATTAATAAATGAATGAATTCAACACTTATTCACTCTTGTAATAATTACCTAATAAAGCATCAAGTTGCAAAAACAATGAAGCTGAAATTCTACAACAAAATGCTTCAGACAAAAAATCCAGTCAGCCATTATGGACTAGGGGCATTTTAAAGGAAAAACTTTGATAGAAACAACCAATGATGCACCACCTAATAAGATCACATAGACTTTTGTTGAGCTATACAAGAGATTTTAGAGGAACTTGGTGCCCACCATCGTACCTCTTTCATTGTTTCTATGTAAGATTGATCGTTCCTCTCTTCTTTTCTCTTATCTGTCGACCATCTAAGTTTTCAGATCAGTCCTAAAATTTGGTATACATAACTAAGGACCATTGGGAAACTTCACATTAAATCTGAGAAAGATCCCTCCGGTACTCTGAGCCACTAACAAACTTTAACTCTAAAATTTCAAGATGACCGTAAAGGCCATTTTGGGTTTTCCAACCAGTCCAAATATTTGATATGCCTAACTATGAACCATGGGGAACATTCATGTGAAATTTGATAAATATCCATCTGGTACTCTCTGAAAAATGGTGCTACCAATTCAAGGATTGCTGGAGGACAGACCGACAACAGATGCAGGGGGATTTGAAAAATAACTTAACATGATTAGATAAATTATTGACTTATGGAGAGACAAACAGACAAACTGCAAACAGTATCTCTCCGTTTTCCCTTAACTGCAGGAAAAACTATAATGTTAGTTACCTTCATGTAGTCAACATTTTCATAAAGATTGAAAGATCTTGTTCTCAGTGTCAATTTCTTCATCGTAGGGGCTGTAAGTTCCCAAGAACAAGCAACATTACGAGGATATTTTCCTGCCTTAAAACCTGGTGTCATGATTGTTCCACTATTAGCGGGATTGATAGTGATATCACATCCTGGAAAAAAGATGAAATATGTATGTAGACAAAATTTCTGCAGATGAAGTTTACGATTTAAGTAATCATCAATATTTAAAGAAGATATCGCAACTTTAATTCACACATTTAATAAACATCTGGCCAATTTTAACAAAAAATCAAAAAAAATGGCATATAGCAACTTCTGAATTCCTAAAATCATAATGATACATTATACACTTATTGCCCTGGTGTGAGGGAGACCTGAAGAGTTGTTTCCCCGAGATAAATCATGTTTCCCGAGGTCGAAGCCTAAAGGAAACATGATTTGTCGAGGGGGAACAACTCTTCAGGTCTCCCTCACACCAGGGCAATAACTGTTTTATTATTCCGAAATTCCATCTGTGGAGTCTGTGTTATATTCATATAACAAAAACACATCAACATTAGGCAATGCAATGATCCCCTGTGTTGTTACTGGTGTGACCGACTTGTTTGCCCTTATTCCATTAGGTCTGGTAGCATATATATACTACAAATACCTATCGCTGTCAGTGTTTTGATTTTACATCAAATTGAATAACAATTATAGCCCTTCAAGTTCTTCAGCTGTTGGGAGGTGGAATCTCCTGTTCACAGCCATTGTTGATGTTAGGGTGTCGTCCGTAACACATCAGGCGCTAGAGTCTAACAAAGGGAGACAACTCGTCCGATGATGTGCGAGGGGTTCCGAGAGGGATACTCGACAAGGAAAATGGATCGCATGAGGGAGACTCAATGTTTTATAATCCTGTCATGTGATGTGTTTAAACTAATCAGACACGCTGTAAAATCGATGAGGAATAATATGTATTACGAATACTGTATACCAGGAAACTTTTGTCCAATCAAACTTTTGTCCAATCAAACTTTTGCCCAGTCAAACTTTCGCCCAGTCAAACTTTTGTCCAATCAAACTTTTGTCCAATCAAACTTTTGCCCAATCAAACTTTCGCCCAGTCAAACTTTCACCCAGTCAAACTTTTGCCCAATCAAACTTTCACCCAGACAAACTATCAAACTTTTGCCCAGTCAAATTTTTGTCCAATCAAACTTTTGCCCAGTCAAATTTTTGTCCAATCAAACTTTTGCCCAGTCAAACTTTTGTCCAGTCAAACTTTCACCCCGTCAAACTTTCGCCCAGTCAAACTATCAAACTTTTGTCCAGTCAAACTTTCACCCAGTCAAACTTTCGCCCAGTCAAACTATCAAACTTTTGCCCAGTCAAACTTTTGTCCAATCAAACTTTCGCCCAGTCAAACTATCAAACTTTTGTCCAATCAAACTTTTGTCCAATCAAACTTTTGTCCAATCAAACTTTCACCCAGTCAAACCAAACTTTTGCCCAGTCAAACTTTTGTCCAATCAAATTTTTGCCCAGTCAAACTTTTGCCCAGTCAAGCTTTTGTCCAATCAAACTTTTTCCCAGTCAAACTTTTGTCCAATCGAACTTTTGCCCAGTCAAACTCTTGTCCAGTCAAACTTTCACCCAGTCAAACTTTTGTCCAATCAAACTTTTTCCCAGTCAAACTTTTGTCCAATCAAACTTTTGCCCAGTAAATCTCTTGTCCAGTCAAACTTTCACCCAGTCAAACTTTTGCCCAGTCAAACTTTTGCCCAGTCAAACTTTTGCCCAGTCAAACTTTCACCCAGTCAAACTTTCACCCAGTCAAACTTTCACCCAGTCAAACTTCGCCCAGTCAAGCTTTTGTCCAATCAAACTTTTGCCCAGTCAAACTTTTGTCCAATCAAATTTTTGCCCAGTCAAACTTTTGCCCAGTCAAGCTTTTGTCCAGTCAAACTTTTGCCCAGTCAAACTTTCACCCAGTCAAACTTTCACCCAGTCAAACTTTGCCCAGTCAAGCTTTTGTCCAATCAAACTTTTGCCCAGTCAAGCTTTTGTCCAATCAAACTTTTGCCCAGTCAAACTTTTGTCCAGTCAAACTTTCGCCCAATCAAACTTTCCCCCTTTGCCGATAAAATCAGTATTTCCTCAGTGTGGATTTCGCCCCTTATATCTGATTACTTTGTTTATTATGTTGATAACAGATATTTGTTGTGATGATAAATTCACAATCATTACAGAGGGTGAAAAAAGTGAAAAACTTAATCTGCAGTGAAAATTTCTTGGTATACATTATACAAAGACATAATTATGGAATACTACTAAAGTGCCAGTTAAACACTCATATTCATGTACATCTAGAGTACCACTTTATTCATTTGTAACCTGGAAATAAACAAAATAAAGAGCAGCTCACCTTCCTTATATCTGATCACAAAGCCACTGGAAGGAGGTTGAATAGCAGTATATGTCGACAGTTTGATTTTGACAGCTTTACTGTAGGAGATGTACATGGCTGGGTCAGGAATAGACTGAATACCAGATAATACAGCGTTCGTCATATCTCCATCATATATTTCCATGGAGCTTCTATTTTCCAAATAAACATTATCAAACTGAAATAAAAAAAAATAGGTACATTTTATCCAACTCTAAACTAAACAACAAAATAATGTGAATAACTTCATTTCAAGACAAAGACCTATAGGCTATATGGTAATTAACTAGTTATATTATGTTAATTTGTGACGTAATGTAGCTATGTTGACAGAAATGTGTTAAGACTACTGTTAACCAGTTTTAATTTTGTCTACCAATTGTATATTGTGAAATGGTTAGGTTCACAATTTTTTCCTTGTCATGACTTCGGGATTACTCCAAAATGGCAGTGCATGTCTAGATGCATTGGCCTAAAGACATTTAAAACCAGATATGGTTCCAATCACTGAAGCTGTTGTTTGAAAGTAAGATTCTGAAGCAAAAAGTAATAAATTCCTGTTTAGAGCCCAATTCCTCTAGCTCCTTGGGTTGGCATTCTCATGGGTGACGGATGCTTCAGACAAACTAAGGCAAAAAATTCCCTTCAACCACTAAAGGAGTGCAATGTAAAAAATCTGTATTTTCATCTTCCTTATGAGATCTCACTTCTCTGCACCCAGGGAGCTACACCATCCATTTATTCAACATTTTATCTCCTTAGCCTTAGAACACTTCAGACCAAATAGTTGCAACCTTTTACCAATAATGACGAGGTAAGATTATATAATAGATTTAACTTTTATTTCCCCTATTTGTCCTCGTCCCTCTGCCCAAAGTTGCTACACTCTCCATTTATACAACCTAGCCCTTTGGACCAACATAGCTCAGGACCAAATTCTGTTAGAATCCCTTTACTGGTACTGAAGGAGTAAGATTTTCAAGATTTACCTTATTGAACACTGCCCCTCCCCCTCCCTCCCCCGAGGTACCATATCCACCATTTATACATAATTTTATCCCCTTTTTTTCCAAGGATTGTCTCGACCACTATTGAGGGAGTAGGAGTTTAATAATCTTTTTTTACTTCCCCCAATTTGGCCACTCATTACATAAATTGAATAGTGCCCTATAGCAGGTTATTCACACTGCATACTAGCCAGCTCTCCCTATTTTGAAGAGAAACTCACGACTTTGGACCCTAAAATTGAGCATTTTTAACCACTGAAGTTGCTTAACTATTTTTATTTTCTAAGATCTGATGATTTTATCTGAAAGAACAGCTCAAACATGACCATTTAATGTGTTTTTTCCTTTCATTCTGAGTACACGAAATATCCCACATGAAAATTTAGAGTGAAATTTACTCTAATAAATTCCTTGAATAAAGTTTTTAAACCGATCAGGTTGGAAATTAATCTTGTATGACAGTAATGTATGATACCTTAATTGCAAGTCCTCAACAGAACTTGTGACTGTAAAAACATACAATTCATGGCAAAAAAAAAATCCCAATTATTACATATATAAAAAATCCACATGTCCACCCTAGTGAGTAACTCGAGATAAACAATAACTTAGGATAGACCACAGTCTGTAATGAGAACACAGACCTATTGTTACAGCTCATTGTTTTACCATAAGCGTGATAATTTGTCCCGGCGTCTGTGCAGTAATGACCCATTCCATTGCCAAATCTGGAGGTAAAGTACTACCAAAGAAGGGAGACGGCAGTGTTCCATAATTTGATGTACCAGTTAGTTCCCTTGGTGAGTTGGTGATTTCTGGAACAACTGTAAAGATGACATTTTTTCATTAGCTACATTGATAAGCTGAATTGCATTATATCTTAAACAATGGAGTGCGACACTTGTAATTAAGGATCCATGTTCCACTGGACACCATAGCTATCAGAGGTAGTCCTGGGTTTATATCCGTCCTAGCCCATTGGGTTTTAATACCCAGAACATTGCTGGGTTTTTTGGGGGTTTTTTTCATCTTTGTTATCTTTTATAAAATTTCTGCAAGGTATGGTTTTCTTTTCTGATACGTTTTATCAAAGCCATAGTCAGACTGGAAAAATAATTTCCAATGCATTGTTGCAGGTTTGGACAATGGTCCAGTGATCTTTACATGGTCCAGTGATCTTTACATGGTCCAGTGATCTTTAAGAGTTATCCTTTCAAAGCTATCTCCATTAAGCATTAATACAAAATATATGTAACTACTATGGTCATTATTCAGGGTTTTCTGAGCATTATAAGTATATATTCTGATAAAACTTTAAAACATTTTATCAAATAAGTATTTGTAGGAGATTTATGTATGTTCCTGGCATGGAACGTTTGAAGAAGGAGACACATACAACAGTTCAGAGTTTTGAATTTCATTAATATTGGTAACAGTTATAACCCTTACATCAGATTACATCAGTAAAAGAATGTCAACAAATCCAAGCAGCCATTTCGTGTGATACAAAGCCAACAAAAGCCATGGTAAACAGACTGTGATCCCTTAACCATCCATTTCCAATCTCTGTAACTTCAAACTGATAATTCTAGGAATATATTTTAAAACAAGATTTTCTCCCAATGACACACACTCTGATATTATAGTAAAAGTAGATTTTACTTGAAGCCCATTGGCTTAATCACCATCAAGGAAACTCCCAATTTCCTGGGGGGAATGTTCTCTTTCAGTACATTATATTATAAAATCTACGATATCAATAGAAAACCTGTGCAGATTAAGAAACATAACTGTGGCATATTATTATTTAAAAGTGATCCACTTTACTTATTACCCTAAGTTTTGCACAGTTCACCACTAGGGGTGTGATGTAGCTCTTGGTGCAGGGGGAACATCTTATATACCAAGTTGGCAATTCAGTTTTTCGCAGTAAGTTAGGTGATGTAACATCTACCGGTAACTTCTTCAGCTGATGGCACTATGGTGAAGATTGCAAAAGCATGGGAAACTGAGGAAAACGTTTATCTAGTTCATCAGACGAGTTAAAATTAACAGAAATGACTTAAAGGGCACAAGAAAGACAGTAGGTATGTTAACTATTATCCAGATCTTTGACAGATGAGAGCACTACTGCAGTGAAAAGCATAGGGGAAAAAAGTTCCAAGGCAATTGTTTGTTCGATTGAGAGGTTTTATGTCCACTTGACTAATGAGTAGCTCAGTTATCTAGTAGGAATGACAAGGAATAGATAAATAAACAAGAGGCCCAGAGGGCCTGTATCGCTCACCTAAATATTTAGCAGTCATAGCAAAATATTCTCATTACTGTAAATACTATACTGTACTTCAAATATTTCACTGGCAAACTTTGTCGGCTCCATCTGTTGAAACTATCGGCCAAATATTATTATATGATTCTATCCTTTTTGGTTCTTCTTCAGAAGTTGTTTGCCAAATTTTTCCCAGTGACCATGTAAATAGGTCAAGGTCATTTTCCTTCTCAAACTTTGTTGATTCTCTATCCCAAGAAGCTACCAGCCAAATCTTATGAATCCATTCCTTTTGGTTCTTCAGAAGTCGTTTGAAATGGTGTTGACCTCTGTGACCTTTAACGGAGGTTGTGGTCATTTTCATTTGCAAACTTTGGTGATCTCTATCCCAAGGAGCCATGAGCCAACTATTATGATTCTATGCCTTTCGATTGTTCATTAGAAGCTCTTTGATGTTATTGACATGTTTGACCTCTGTGACCCTGAAAGTAGGTCAAGGTCATTTTCATTCGCAAACGTTGTCTGGCTCTATCCCAGGAAGCAACCAGGCAAATATGAAGATTATATACCTTTCAGTCCTTCAGAAGAAGTCTTTTGAAACGTTTGACATATTTAACGCTGTGACCTTGAAAGTAGGTCAAGGTCATTTTAATTCTCAAACTTTGTTGGGCTCTATCCAAGGAAGCTACCAGGCAAATATGAAGATTCTATACCTTTTAGTTCTTCACAAGAAGTCGTTTGAAGCGTTTGACATATTTGACCCCTGTGACCTTTAAAGGAGGTCAAGGTCACTTTCGTTCTCAAACTTTGTTGGGCTCCTATTAACGAAGCTTTCAGCCAAATACCATGACTCTAGGCCTGTCCATTCTTCAGAAGAAGTTGTTTAAAGAAAAGTTGACGGACGACGGATGGGCACCATCAGGCAGGTGAGCTAACCCGTAATTATTCAATCAACATCCTAGATGGTATCATGTGGTATATTATTATCAGATGGTTATCATATGGCAAATTACTATCAGATGGTTATCATATGGTAAATTATTATCAGATGGTTATGTATGGTAAACAAGTAGTAATTCTGATGGGGGACCATTATAGAAGTCCCCCAAACTGCCCCCATAATTGTAAAGATGCATCAGAAAAGACTGAATTTGACTGAAATCAAACAATAACTGAATTTTGACCAATCAGAAGCCTCTGTGTGGTTGCTATGGCAACGAACATATAAGGTTGAATTCGCAGTCCCCTAATACCCCTATATACCAATTTCCATCAAAATCAAACAATATCTAAATTTAGACCAATCAGAAGCCTCCGTTTTGGGGACATAATTATTATCAGATGGTATCATGTGGTTAATTATTATCAGATGGTATCAGGTACAAATGACCATACATGAAGATACAGTTGAATATACAGAAATGACATACCGTTGGTCCAAACCATGCTGATAGGTTGGCGTTCAACCGTACTGTCTGTTGTCATCCTTATGATCAGGAAGTGGTTGCCAGAAATAAATCTCTGACCTACGCTCAAGGAACCTTCCACAGTGCCTATCCTATAACTCTCTGAAAGAGTTAATCCCCCAGAGTATATTATCAGTGAATCAGCCTTCAATTCTATGGCTGAGTTCGAAGAAATCTGTAAGCAAAAAGATGTTTTTTATGAAATATCACAAAAAAACACATTGTACTAAGTTTTGAATTAAGGAGGCTCCACCCTTTTGCAATTAACCAGCAGAATTCAATGAAAGTTTCACATAATGGTCATGTCACTATGCAGAGATGATTTTATGAAAATCTCAGCATTCCGATAAACTGGGGATTTTTTTGTAAAAAATGATTTTTTGTCATATTTAACACTTTCACATTTTTTGAGTGTGTGGCATTGTTCAAAACTATTACAACAATAAACTAATGAAAAGAAGCATTGCTTATCAACCCTACAAATATTTTATTTATCATGAAATATGTAAAACATGTTACACAAAGCGTTTTTTATTGAAATTGTATGGATAAAAGTTACTATATATACAAGCTAAAAGCAAACAGGACACAGAGTTTCATACAAAAAAGAGTGAAAAATTAAACCATATACGCACAAAGTCTTTATATTTCATTTATTTTACATTTTACAATAATTTTGATCCCGAAGACAGTTGTGTACCTCGAAAAAAAATCGGAACTTTTTGTAAAGGGATAGAATTTATACAATGACAGTTATTTTCTTTACTATACCAAAAACGACGGAAATCAATTCATTTTATTTTTGTCAAGTCAAGACCCAGCATTACTGACCGTTAAGCTGATCCTTTCTCCTATGTTGGCCTTCAGTGTGTACAGACATGTTTTTCTCCCCTGGTAGCCAATAGACTTTGATCCTGGCATATTTGTGCTGTACCAATTACAATAAGGAGCTGAAAATAATAGAAATAAGGACAATTCTTCAATAACAGATATATAGATTTAAATACTGTATCAAATATTTCAATGACAGATTATTTACAAATGAGGTCCAGCTAAAATAGACCTTGACCTTACAAATGGGGCAATACAACATCTTGTATTATCGAAGTGTAAAATATGAGTGTTGCATCGCAGGACAGGGAAACAGACTTAACCAGTTATGTGTGAGAAACATTTAGAGTACATCAGTGACTTCCACGACAGATTATACAGACTGATCCCGAGCATTTCTACATACAGATTCATACTTCTGCTTTATTTATTTCAAAACGTAATCATATATTTTAAAATTATGTAAGCATTTTCACAACTGTCGAATCTTAAAATTTAATTTGAACTTTAAGCTGACAGTGCAAGTGAATCTATGTTTTTCTGTATTTAATGTTTACAACACATCTGTTCAATATAATTTTTGCAAATATAGTATCACACTTAATGTGGCAGGTTATATTTTTGTATGGCCAAATTATTTTTTTACTTAGAATATCCTAAAGACATACACTGTATGTGTGATATCCCTTTAACTACAAACCTACAATTAAACTTAATGTTCATTCTGTATTTCCGGTAAAATGTTATTCATGATTATTCCACATTGATGTTTAATTTGTTCCCTGATTAGACGACTCAGGCAGACATTTCAATGTGAAAGACAGTAATAGTAGCTGACCTCTGTGACCTTGAAAGTATACACAGGTATGTCTATTGTCAATGTTTTCTCATTGAGTAAACATCCTTGATCCCAATAAGCTAAAACCTAAATGGTATGATTTTGGCCACATATTTTTTCAGAAAAACTTGTTTAAGTTTCACACTTATGTGACCTCATGACCTATAAAATAGGTTGAGGTCGCGCATGTTGTATTAATTTCATATTCCTTCATTCTAGTCAGCTTTTAAAAGAAGCCATTTAAAGTTTTTAACTTGATTTACCTCAGTAACCTGTTAAGTGGTACAGGCCCAAGTCATTAATTCTAACAAATTTCCCAGCCCAGTAGTCTACAGAACAAATTTCAAGATTTTATCCCGTTTGGTTCTGTAAAGATGTAATTTCATTTTAATTGATATCAAATGAACTTAAAAGCAGTCAAGGGCATTGGGATACACAAACTGGATATACATAACTTCAACCTTGTAAGCTACTGGATGAATATTTTGACTTTAGCTGTCATCGTTTTGTAAAAGAATTGGTTTGAGATTTTAACATATTTTGACATATGACCTCAAAAATGAATCAGAATAATTTATTTAAGAAAAAAGAAAAAAACTCTTATAAAATACAAAAATTGTTGATACCTAATAATATACAATATTTGATATAATGCCCTATCTAGCTAACATAAGCCACACTAAAGCACTTTACTGTACATAGATATACAATTAATACAATTAGCATATACATTAATCAATACAATTTTATACAATTTTTGAGGAATTCGCAGGAGCTGCCTTATCAGATGCTAACTACTTGTCCTATGCCATCTGGCTATGTGTGTATGTCCGCGTGTGTGCTGGAGATGTATTGTGTTCTGTTTGTAGTCGGACCGTGCTTCCAACGGCATCTTTTATAGTGCCACCTCACTTGAATGCTACAGCACAGATATCGCAACATCCCCCCAAGACCATTTAATACTCCACCTGGGTTGCTGGAGTTGTGTGGGCTGGAGAAAAACACTTTCTCTGAATATTCCATGCGTGCGACAACTTCGAGGATCGAACCCTGGCCGCCTGTGTGGAAGCTAGTGTAAACCACTCGAACCATCCGCCCATAATAAAAAACCAGGAAATACTGTCTGTAGGAAAGGTCATTTAAAATATTGATTTGACACTAAATGTGACCTAGGAGTGGGGTGATTTCTTTGTAAAAGATTCAGATGCAGAAGTTATCATCCCAAACAGTTCAAACTTCTCCCCCTCCCTCTCCAAGCTAACCACGTCCAGGTAATTAACACTTCTGAAAAGGGAGTTGTTTGAATTTCTAACACATTTAATTCTGTCACCTTAACAGCAGGTCAAGGTAACTTCTTTTTTTTCAGAAGAAATTCACCCAGAAGCTGTAGGACAAAAATTCTGAACCTATGCCTAAATTCTTCTGTATATTGCAACACCTTTTTTTTCAATTCAATTCATTTATTCCGTTAGCCTTACAGCTTATGAGATGCACGACGCATTTGTGATCTTGAAAGTTAGTCGAGTATATTTAATTGAACAATGCGGATTACCTCAGTAACAAAAAAAATGAACAATGGGACAACAGCTGACAGACACTGTACCATTCTATAAATTCACAGATACAAATAGTCTGATGAGCTGATAAAAAGCCGATATTTCTTCTATGTATTGTATCTTACCTGTGCCACAGTCTACTTCATCCGACTTATCGTCACAATCGCGATATCCATCACATTTCCATTTTTCGCTGATGGCTTTAAGTCCTTTGCTACATTTAAATGAACCTGGAAAAATTGTATCAAAAAGTATCTTGTAGTAAGTTGATCTGATACATAAATCCTCAGAAAGCTAAAGCTCATTGGTCTACTTCCTTTCCACAGGGGCCTGTGTCTGGTGACTTCAGGAAAATCTCACCCATAAGCATGATTTGGGGAAAATAAAGTGATTTTTGCATTGATTTTGGGAAAATACATCAGAAATAAGCTAGGGGAAAGGCCCCAAATTCACTCTAAAAACCCACCATAGGCCAAGGCAAAAATCTGTATGTTTCAAGTAACATGTCTGGAAAAAAATGGTAAGTTGGTAGTCAATACCTTTTTTCAATTTTTCTTTTTTCTTTTCATGGATCAAAACTATGCTCTATGTCAAATTTTAAAAATGCATTTTTATGTATTTCAATGGCTATTAAGCTGTCAAGAATAAGGTAAGGCTCCCAGACCAGGAATTACTTTTAAATTAGTGACTGTGAGCTTTGCCTGTCCAATAAATTACTCTTGGATACAAAGTAGGTGAAAAATGTTTTAGGGTTGGCATACTTGAAACACACATAATTATTATTTGCCTGATTGGCGTTGTTCTCTGCAGGCTGGGTCAGCAGCTGATGTAACTTGTGAAGATCCTAAATTTCTTTAAAATATGATAATGTAAAAAGTCAACCATTCATACCCGTATGGAATGGGAAGATTCTATTAATCCAGGTTTATAATCTATACTGCTATCCATCATGTCAACATAACAGTTTTATGATATTTGTATACATCATATCAATGCCTACTTACCTGATGGGTTACCAGGGCACATAGGGTTTGGATTTTGAGGTAGTAAATCAGTTCAAAATTGAGCATATGTTATGAACTTTACATATCCTCCAAACATAAATCGGACTATTATTACCTGGGGGATATGCTGGTGTCTTGCAAATGAAGGGTAACTTTTTCATGCAGGGTACACGTTTCCAATTGCCATCGACCATACCAGCAACACATTCTGGTCCACTATTACTTTCATCTGGCTGTGAAGGCTCCCAGAAGCCAAGACGTAGGTCATAGACTTCTGAATTTCCTGTCCATTTCCAATCACTTTCTGTCTTTCTTAAACCTGCAATAAGTAAGTGACCCTTTTTACCACTGAACACCCTTTCATGTGTAAAGGAATGCTTCTACCAGTGTACTATAACCTAGCATAATTGTTATTGGCTAAGATGTTGAACAGCCAATGTTAATTGGCTAAGATGTTGAAAATGGTGATTATAGCTGAGATATTGAACAGTCAATTGCGATTGTTTGATATTGAACAGCCAATGTTGATTGGTCAAGATATTGAAAAGTCAATTGTGATTTGGCAAGATATTTAACAGTCAACTGTGTCATCATGATCAGGATCATACTACAAAGACTCATATAACTGGTACAAGCTTAAGTGTCACCACAGATTGGCTGATGATTTGAAAATGAATAAACATTTTACAAAATTCATGCACATTCATACCTGTTAAATACTTTCATAAAAGAATGTGAGGAATATAAATACTTTATACTTCAAAGCAATTAACTATTGTTCTTGCATGTCTACACTATAAACACTGCAACAGGTTCAAGGGTTTTGGGGAAGACAATCTTTCATTCCATTTTGATACTCCACGTTCCATTCATAGAGTATCAAAATGGAATACAAGATCTTTGTTTTATTCTGATTGTAGGGAAAAGTCCATTTGAGAAATTGTAGGGAAGGGTCTATTTGAGAAATTGTAGGGAAGGGTCCATTTGAGAAATTGTAGGGTAGGGTCCATTTGACAAATTGTAAGGAAGGGTCCATTTGAGAAATTGTAGGGATGGGTCCATTTGACAAATTGTAGGAAAGGGTCCATTTGACAAATTGTAGGGAAGGGTCCATTTGACACAATATGTTTCAATTCTATAATTCCCTTCCCTTCTTTTAGACATGTTTCACATCTAGGAAGCTTCATGAAATAATGGTTTCTCAAGCAGTCAAGTTATGCCCTGTTAGGCATTATCACACCTTATTGCTTAAGATAGAGATGGCTGATGTAATAAAAAGGAAACAAATCAATCAATTGGCATGGGGTACATTTACTGGTGCTGAGCAAGAGTCTTTATCTTACAGGGTTTCCAAATTTCATGGGGTGGGTGGGGACAAAATGGGAATAATACATATAGCCACTGGGGTATAACATATATATATACATCTTGCATATTTTAAAATGACATGATGGTAAGTATTTGTGATTGAAAAAAAGACAATTAAATATCATGACATTGACATCCTACACATGTATTCCCCTCGTTTTTAATTTCCATCTTGATGCTCATACTATTAAGCTACAATATTTTACACTACGATTTTGTCCAAAAAAAGGCTATTGTAAGTAAGGAACTTTTTAGACATTTTTCTTTTCTTTTATTTGCCACATGGTCCCAATATAAAAAGTTTAAAATGCTGGCAAATCTTCATTAACAATGGTTTCATTTCTCAGCATGAGAATAATTTTACTATTTTGTGAAAGATACGAGAAAAGTACCAATTAATACTCTTTGATACAGGCATGTTGAAAGACAGGAAATTGCAATAATAGATTTTGAATTGGGGACATAATCCTTAGAAAATTAAGCTTTGCCTTCAGGCTTTCCTCAAATCCTTAAAGGCCTTTGATGGGATTTACCTATTTTCAACAGGTACATACAGAGTTAAGGACCTTACCATGGTATATAACTATGTGCCTATACTTTCTTACACACATAATATATTATAAGTTATATAATTACTTACCTGTCCAGTACATTTCTTGCCCCATATCTAATAAATTGTGAACATAATCATTTTCATTCCAGTCATCAATCCATACAAGTCGACTTCCATCTCTGAAATATAAAATAACCATGACTAAAGATGCCTTCATTAGCAGTATCTACAAATGTATGATATCAGGACGTTACAGTACAACAGTAAAACAATCTGCCAACAATTGTGATTGTGAATTTCATTTAAACCCTAGGTTCGACCATTCCCCCCTGTGCAAAAGGTAAAATTTGTCACACTTTTGGATATATTTTGTTCATATTCATCAGGGAATACGTTCAAAGTTGGTTGGAATTAATTATCATCATCGGCTAGCAGTTTGATGCCATTGTAGCAATCAGGTAGCTCAATTGAAAGAGTGTTCGTCTAGAGTTCGGAGGGTCCAGGCTTTGAACCCCAGTCTGGCAGTTGCATTTGGTGACCAACCCTTATTTCAAGTACTACTGTAGCCATAGGTGAATGCTTGACAAGGGGATACCCGAACCAGGGTTTTAAATAGTGTAATCTTGCAGGGTGAAGACTTACAAAAAGGAGGGAGGAATGTGTGAAGCGACCAGGTAACGCAATTGGTAGAGCTTTCCTTTAGAGTTCAGAGGGTCCCCCGTTTTACCTCGGTCTGGCCATGGTTTTTTTCACTCCTAAGTACACTATGAAAAGTGAACTTAACAAACAGGTGATTGCACCATTAAAACTTGGTAATTAATACAAACTGTAACTTCAGTGTAAGCCAAACATGAATAACACTGCATCATATAGCTGTTTCGCACTCCTAGGGCCCATAACTGATGCTAGAACAGCCAAAAAACATACTTGCCAACTCTCCCTATTTTGAAGGGAAGCTCCCAATATTGGACTTTGAATTGAGCATTTTAAACCAGAGGTTTTGCTCAACTGTTCCTGTTTTCTGATCTGATGGTTTCCTCTGAAAGACCAGCTCCAAAGAGCCCATTTAAAAGATCATATATTTAGTCTTTGTACGGCTGGGTAAAAAAAAATCAATTTGCAAGGTAAGCCCAAATAAACGTAGGGACCTGAGAATTTGTTACAGCTGTATTTGGACCTAAACTAAGGTGTTCAGAGTAATTTTGCATGTTTTAGGGGTTAATTTCAGTAAAAATGTCCCTGCGCAATTAACCATGTTATTGCCCAGACAGCTTATAACAACAACAAGATATCTTAGCAATCATGGCAAAATATTCTTCAAATGAGATCCAAGGGAATATGCCAGATACCAAGGCCAATCCTTGTAGCAATCTGTATTAGATTTGTCATGCCCAGCGATTTTATGTATGGTTATGGGTTGAGGATCTCAACTGTTTCAAAGCTTTGACTCAGAAACTAGGTCCCTAGGGTTGTGGCCAGACCCCAGGATCAATTCTAATATCATGATTGCATTCGTCTCTTTTTGCCAAGCATTTGTATTTATAGTTTTGGGGTGGGCATCTGAACTGTTTCAAAGTTATGACCCAGGGGTTAAGTCTGCAAGGGTGGGGCAGACCCTGGGGTCAATTCAAATATCATGACTGCATTCATCTCTTTATGCCCAACAATGGTATATATAGTTTTGGGGTGGGGATCTTAACCATTTCGAAGTTATGACCCAGGGGTTAAGTCTACAAGGGTGGGGCAAACCCCAAGGCCATAATGGAAACATATGTGCATTCATCTGTTTATACTCACCAATTCTATATATTGTTATAGGGTGAGGGATCTCAACTGTTACCAAGCTGTGCCTAAGAAACTAGGTCCCTAGGGGTTCGGTCAAACCCCGGGGTCTATTCTAATATCATGACTGCACTCCTCTCTTTATGCCCAGCATTTGTATACATAGTTTTGGGGTGGAGATCTTAACCGTTTTAAAGTTATGACCCAAGGACTATGTCTCCAAGGGAGGGGTTAGACCCTAGGGCCATCCTGGAAGCAAATGTGCATTCTTCTCTTTATACTCAACAATTGTATATATGGTTATATGGTGGGGATCTCAACCATTTCCAAGTAATAAACTTTTTTTGGCCCCACCCCTTAGCCCGGGGGTCAGTCCCACCATTTGTACAATTTTGAATCCCTGCCTCCCATGAATGCTTCCAACCAAGTATGATCGATATCCATGGCAAAGTTCTACAGAAGAAGTTGTTTATAGCAAAATAGCCAAATTGCCCCCTTTTGGCCCTGCCCCTCACCCCCCTTGGGGGTCAGCCCAACCATTTGTACAATTTTGAATCCCCACCACCTAGGAATGCTTCCAGTCAAATATGGTTGATATCCATCGCTTAGTTCCAGAGAAAAAGTCACTTAAAGCAACATAGCAAAATAACCCTTTTTGGCCCCTGCCCCTCACCCCCCTGGGGGGTCAGCCCCACCATTTGTACAAGTTTGAATCCCTACCTCCCATGAATGCTTTTGATCAAATATGATTGGTATCCAGTGCATAGTTCTACAGAAGAAGTCGTTTATAGCAATATAGCCAAATTGCCCCCTTTTGGCCCGCCCCTCACCCCCCTGGGGGGTCAGCCCAACCATTTGTACAATTTTGAATCACCACCACCTAGGGATGCTTCCAGTCAAGTAGGGTTGAGATCCAGTGCATAGTTCTACAGAAGAAAACGCTTAAAGCAATCTAGCCAAATACCCTTTTTTGATGGCCCCGCCTCTCGGCTCCTGCGGGGGTCAGCCAAACTATTTGTACAATTTTGAATCCCTACTACCTAGGGATGCTTCCAGTCAAATTTAGTGAAATTCCAATCAGTGGTTGAGAAGAAGAGGTCGTTTAAAGAAATTGTTGACAGACGGACAATGGACGGACGCCACGGTATGGCATAAGCTCACCTTGTTCCTTTAATTTGGACCAGGTGAGCTAATAACAATCTGCAAAATAATAACTAGAAGGTCAGCCCAAATATGACTGAACAAAGCCTGTGTCTGTGTTCCTGAGTAGGTGGGGTGGGGTGCCTGGACACACAATCCCATGGGCCAGCTCCCGCCAGGACAGGCGCCCACGCTTACAGGTTGTTTCGCCCTTAATCCTGTTCGCGCTAGGTTGTTTCGCCCTATTTTTTATTTTATTTATACGCTGATATAATAATTGATATTTAATTCTATCAACTAAACTTATTGTTGACTTTCTACATTGGTGAAAAATACACAACTGTGTAGGTGCGGAGTCAGCTTTTCACAGCTTGTCAAATTCACTTGAAAACAACACAATTTTTTTTTTATATAAAATTGATTTTAAATGATATGGAAGACGAAGAACACTTAATTTGTGACTAAAACTACTAAAATTTAAAGAAACTATGTATTTTTTTTGCTTTAGGGCGAAACAACCTAGCGCGAAACAACCTAGGGCAAACAGGATTTCGGGCGAAACAACCGGCACCCTTATTCCCAGGGTTTGACACCTAATCACTCTAATCACAATACATACTACATTATACCGTGTCAAAATATAACAGCAATTCTCTTGGAAAATGTGTACATCGGAAACAAACATATTTATTGCTGAATTACACTACAGAATTAAATTATTCTGATCTACATACCTCTCGCATGCATCTTCTGCTTTTTCCCACGAAAAAGTGGCATACACCTTCCTGTAGCAATATGAATCCTTCTGCACGTAACCTAAAAAAACAAAAGACTTACAATGGGTTCATACCGTGTCGTTTCTCTGCTTTTGAAAACTTTCCTTGTTGTTGAATCAGAGACGTACTACGTATACAGAGCCTTTATAAATTATACGTCTGTGGTTGAGTGTAACCTGTCAAATACTGTAGTTGTCTCCCCTGTTGAACATAGGTACCCAATAGAGCTAGACTGACACACCTTAAAACAGTCTCGACCCGCTAAAACCACACTGTACAAATGAAAATCTACGAATAATCCAGTTTGGGGAAAAGTGTGTTTTACATTTTGAGACCAAGAAAATAATGATAACAATTTATTTAAAAACGGACTATAAAATACATACCTTGCAATAGCTGACGCCAGTACGTGTAACGTTTGAAATTTGAAAGATTTTCGAGAATGATATAGGCTATGCCACATCCCTGGCTATGCATAGCCAAAAAATATTGGGTTTCAATGCAAAAACCCCAAATTTTTAAGATTTTGGTTTTTCGCTTAGGCTTTCCTGCCTTTAAATGATCCAGTTGAATCTACGGAAACGATTTAAAATATATTTACGAACAGTAATTTTATTAAATTTGTAGTCTAGACCAAAAGTACCTTACAAATATTTGGAGCGTTCATTTCTGTCTAAATTCTTTACACAAATTAACATATTACATTATGAATATATGAGCTACTCTATGGAAAAATGATCATATCTGCCCACTGTCAGATGGTATAAATTTAAGTTTTGATCAGATAATTCTTTTCTTGCAGGACAGATTAAGAGATAGTTAAGTGTTATACTTATTTACTAGAAACCAAAATAGGATCATTTTTCTTCATTAAAATTACAATAAACAAATAAACAGAATATTTTATTGTAACATATCACGAACTTTCATTCCGATTGGGCATCTTACTAAGAAAAACAAAAGTAAGAAAGAATTTAGGAAAATTTATCAGATACAAACAGATAGTTCAGACCACATGCGTCGCAAAATAAACTGAACCCCTAGAATGCCGACACCACTCTGAAATAACGTGTGGGAGTAAACAATATTCACTTTCTGAAATTACAGTAAAATAATTTCAACAAAAAATGTAACTGATCATGTGATGAAATCAACATCTCCTGACCAACTGTACCAGCGTTATTCTGATCCAGTCTTTAGCACTGCGTAAAACATTTGGCAGAGACGTATATATTACAATATTTCCATTTGCTCTGCATTGACACTGTATTACTGACGTCACGAAAAAAATGTTGTCTGCCAGAAAATGGCAAACAACACATCAAAGCAAATAAATCTTCATTCCACAAACACAGTAACTTCCAGATTCTTCACAAAGATTGAACTATTGAGGTTGAAATAATGATTTTGCGTTTATTTCCACGACCTATATTTTCCCCGGGAACGGTCGCGTGTACTCGTGACGCCACAAAAAAGCATTATTTAATTTGTCTGCAATCCTGTGAGAATTATATGACAATAACATTTCAAAGAGGGCTTATAAGTTTAATGCTTAAATAATATATAAATGTCTCTTGTTCAAGTTAGGTAAAAAAAATGATTTAACAGATCGGCTGTACCACAGGCACCTGGAAATTTGTTACAGCTATATATTTATCTTCAAATTGTTGAAGTTGGTCAGTACCATTTAGAAGTATTTGGACCAAAACTGAGGTGTTCAGAGTAATTTTACATATTCAAAAGGTGTTCTGATTAACTGTCTGTATATATCACCATTGGAATAGGTGGGTTTTTTTTACCGAAAGTTGATCTAAACTCTTAACAATTACACTGAACACCTTAGTTCATGTCCAAATATGGCTGTAACAAATTCTCATGTCCCTATGGTCAACACCCAGTACATCTAAATACAATGTTAGTGTCAAATGTCTGAAGTTATTCTGTGTTGTTGTTGGGTACATACCTGCTGGACATTCCAAAACAAGTTCTGAGTCAACGAAAGAAGTGGCAAACAGCACCTACAAGTAAACACCAGATTTGAAATTGTGATTCGCATATGTTGATGGTTATTGTACAAGATGGATGGATAAATTTAACTGGGTTGGACATCGTAAATATCGCAATTAACATACTTCTGAATTATTCACTCCAATATTTAGTGTCTACTAGTATATGTTTTTTTCATCAAACTAATCCGTTTGTACAGAATGTAACTGTATCCAGAGACGTATATATTGTAATATATAACAGTTATGTCTCTGCTGTGTCTTATTATCTTTTGTCTGCAGCTGTCTTGTATAAGTTTAACACGGATGTGGTACTATCATGCAATTTTACACTGGAGTGCCATGGAGTAGCACCTTTTTTTAATTACTATAAGCAGGGATGTGTAGTGGACCCTCCACTACACATCCCTGCTATAAGCATCACTTTGGTACCTTAAAGGGATACTAAGGAAATATTGCATAAGCTAATTAATAAATTTCTATCAATTTCTGAAATGCCACCATTCCATTTCAGGAAATAGTGTTTTTCTTCATTTAGATATACTGTAGCGAAGTTATCAGCGATGGTGAAAATACTACACGGAGTCAGGCCCCTGTGCCTCGCAATGTTGTAAACAACCGCGTTCTATGGCTTAGTATTCGCTAAATATCACTTGGAAAATTATGGCAATCATTTTTATGAGTTGCTATGATTATTAACTTCCATTGTGAAGCGTACGAAACATTAGTAAAGGCACGGAATTAGATTAGTCCGTGGTAAAGATATCAGTCATTTTAAATAAATAAAAGTTCAATGTCAGTCTGTTGCAGCCGCCATCTTTGTATAGACAACAGCATCAGCACTTACACTACAAGGTACGATAATCGGTAACTAGGACCTATAACACCATTCGTGGCAAATGAATGAAAATATAGAAAGTCTGGATGCTTCTGACTTTAAGCATAGTCATATTTGGTCTAAAATACGTAATATCCACCGAGTCAAGTCGGACAGTCCCTCGCTACAACTTCCCGTTCCATGCATACAGTAGGGCTGCAGTATTGACGATATTCATTACAACGCTTATGAATATTCATGTTATCATTTTACGAATGTAGACAGTCCCGATAATAACCCAGAGTCATCACACACGGATATAAACATAAACCAGTTTAATTCATGTATATTTACATCCTGTATGTATGACTTGTTAAATTTTAGACTTTTTTAATTAACATTAAATACCCACAGGTGCGAGAAATATTTTAGGAAATTCCGATACTTTCTCACACTTTTCAAATTAATAACGGCGTCAAGAGTATAAAAAATAAATTTTTATCATGTCGTGATGTCATTATTAAAACGGGCACGCCCCACCCACAGGTAATAGACACAACATATCCTATGCCTATATTCTAATATGTAATTACATATTAGAATAGGCATAGGATATGTTGTGTCTATTACCTGTGGCCCCACCCGTACAATATCAACTAGTTTCCACACCCTACAGAGAATGATATATATATATATATATCCCTGCAAGTGTAATGACTAGAACAAGCCTCCATCCGGAACGCGGATGATAGCGATAATATACAAGGCGTAACCCTAAGTACGTGTGGTATACGGTGTATATAATAATGTGTGTTCACACATCAACGCGTACAACATAGTTTAACTACGTAACCATATAATGCATCTCCTATCGTAAGTTAAACCGTTAAATGTAACATCTGTATGAACCAACTACACGATGTAACAGAAAACAACGCATTGCTAATATGTGTCACTCAACATTTAATACATTAACTAACAACCATACACCAGAATTAAAACAATCACTGGATAGGTCTAGACACAAAAGCTAAGGGATATCATGTTACCCGTCCACAACACCAGGTGTTCCGTAAATTCCCAGGTGTTTTGTGATGGTCAGTAAATTCCCAGGTGTTTTGTGATGGTCAGTAAATTCCCAGGTGTTTTGTGATGGTCAGTAAATTCCCAGGTGTTCTGTAACGGTTAGTAAATTCCAAGGTGTTCTGTATCGGTCAGCGAAATCCCAGATGTTTTGTAACTGTCAGCGGATTTCCAGGTGTTCTGTAGTGGTCAGCAAATTCCCAGGTGTTCTGTAGCGGTCAGCGAAATTCTAGATGTTTTGTAGCGGTCAGCGAAATCCAAGATGTTTTGTAACTGTCAGCGAATTTCCAGGTGTTCTGTAGTGGTCAGCAAATTCCAAGGTGTTCTGTAACGGTCAGCGAAATCCCAGGTGTTTTGTAACGGTCAGCGAATTTCCAGGTGTTCTGTAACGGTCAGCGAAATTCCAGATGTTTTGTAACGGTCAGCGAAATCCCAGATGTTTTGTAACGGTCAGCAAATTATTAAGTTTTCCTTAACGGTCAGCGAGTTCCTTGGTGTTCTGTAACGGCCAATAAATTATTAAGTTTTCCTTAACGGTCAACAAATTCCTAGATGTTTTGGCATGGTAGCTCAACAAATTCCGAGGTTGTTCTGTAACGGTCAACAAGTTCCGTACCACAGTTGGCACCTGTCATAATGTCTCTTGTCATATAAAAAAAAAATGAGAAAAAACAGAGTCGGGCACCGGTTATCAATGGTATAACTGAACACACGAGAAAGAAAATCCCGACGATTTAAACACGCCATAGATGAACAAATTAATCAGGAGATTGCCATTCTGTAAACAATGAAAGTTGCAATGGCACTGCAGATGTAAATGGGGAACTACTTTTGTACAAACTTCATAAATTAAGATTTAACGGCAAATTTGGAGGTTACCATACCGATACATTCCAAGGCATGTCCTCTTTGGTGAATATACCCAATTGTACAGGAAGTTGGTCACGGCACGGCACTGTGTTGTATCTATGAGCAGGATGCTCCAGTCTACTCATCTGTAAATGAGTACGTGGTTCGGCAGTGCTAGTATTGTTGAATGCTAGCTGTGAGCGCCGAAATAGCAGCTCCGGCTGTATGCCACGAATAATAATTTGTGAACAGCTTTAAGACGACCTACGAACTGGGTTGTGATAAAGTGGTATATAAGAACCTCGAATTATTATTATTATTATTATAAGTGAGAACATTATCCAGATGGTGCTTTCTTAATCGACCTGATCATTCACATTGATGAACTTATCAAGTATTAACGTCGGAAATCTTCACATACCTTGTGGTTCGCTAGTTGACAATACACTACTGCTCACAGTGTCTACAATATTGGTCTAGAATCAACTTGATGTTGTCTTCTGATGATGGCGAGTGTAGACGTAATTAGAACAATTTTAAAAAGCTTGGTAATAAACTCCACAATTAGTCAAAGTAGGTCGGTGCCTAGCAGTTGTTTAGTACCATGCAGGCTTGGAGCAAACAGATCACACTGGAATTCTTACAACAAAGTCATGGAGACAACAGATCATACTGGACTTCTCACAACAAAGTCATGGAGACAACATATCACACTGGACTTCTTACAACAAAGTCATGGAGGCAACAGATCACACTGGACTTCTTACAACAAAGTCATGGAGCCAACAAAGCGTACTGGACTTCTTACAACAAAGTCATGGATCCAACAGATCACACTGGACCTCTTACAACATAGTCATGGAGCCAACAGAGCACACTGGACTTCTTAAAACAAACTCATGGAGCCAACAGATCACATTGGACTTCTTACAACAAAGTCATGGAGCCAACAGATCACACTGGACCTCTTACAACAAAGTCATGGAGACAACATATCACACTGGACCTCTTACAACAAAGTCATGGAGCCAACAAATCGTACTGGACTTCTTACAACAAAGTCATGGAGCCAACATATCACACTGGACTTCTTACAACAAAGTCATTGAGCCAACATATCACACTGGACTTCTTACAACAAAGTCATGGAGCCAACAGATCGCACTGGACTTCTTACAACAAAGTCATGGAGACAACAGATCACACTGGACTTCCTAAAACAAAGTCAGGGAGACAACTGATCGCACTGGACTTCTTACAACAAAGTCATGGAGACAACAGATCGCACTGGACTTCTTACAACAAAGTCATGGAGCCAACAGATCACACTGGACTTCTTACAACAAAGTCATGGAGCCAACAGATCACACTGGACTTCTTACAACAAATTCATGGAGCCAACAGATCACACAGAACTTCTTACAACAAAGTCATGGAGCTAACAGATCACACAGAACTTCTTACAACAAAGTTATGGGTTATACTTTAACAAAAACACCTGCAATCTACTGCCGGGATAGCTGAATCAGTGGTTCGAGTAGTTCGAGTGGTAGTTACTGAGTATGAATTTAAAGTAAAGACGAACTCAGTCCGTTTGCGTGTGTTTAATATCATTAAGGGGACAAGCATACTTATCAAATCAATTGGCGAGCTGGGTCAGACATCCGTAGACTTACTCGAAGGAACGCAACGAAGTGCTTGTTGGTGTTATCTTGGTTAAACGAAAACATCTTCGACTGCCGTAACATTTCAATATAAATTTTAAACAAGAAGTTTATGTTCTAGAATAAACTTTGTTATGGACCTTAACTATTGCGAGGACTTCAGCCCCAAAACAAACAAACAAAACAAAGTCATGGAGCAATAAATTGTACATGAAAGCTCATTTTTATTGTTAGACTTTATAGTTTTCCTATCGGGATATCCATCAACAAACAAGCCACGATTCATCCCAGATGTTTAGGAAACTTCCACGAAGTTTGAACTACAATGTCTACTCCTAGAATTCATTGTCAGCCCGGTACAAAATCTGAAATACTTAACATCGACAAATTCATGTCGACCAGTACATCAATAAGTGGAAGGAAAGAATATGAAAAACCTCACTTTGGATATACTGCCTTATTCATACAACCTTTATTATTTACTACAGTTATTAATTACATGTATACAGAGAGGAGGTGAAGCTATCTGTGCGCAAAGAAAAGTAATAATATAGTCACACTTTTGATCACGTAATGTCGTGCACTTTACGAGAGTAGAGTGAGCTGTACGATCAAACGTTGAATTAAGTTTATTTGTGAAGGAGACTGAGCAAACAATCTTTTTCTGAGAGATTGGACAAACGTGACTTTATTTACTGGCGTGACTGTGCAGGGTGATAGAAGGGAGGAACGTCTGGTACTCAGTAGCCACAAGCTGGATGTGTATCACACGTTTACATTGTTGAAGGAGACTGATCAAGCCATCTTTTTCTGAGAGATTGGACAAACGTGACTTTATTTACTGGCGTGACTTTGCAGGGTGATAGAAGGGAGGAACGTCTGGTACTCAGTAGCCACAAGCTTGATGTGTATCACACGTTTACATTGTTGAAGGAGACTGATCAAGCCATCTTCCTTATGGGAGATCGGAGGAAAATTAAGTGTCTTTGCATGATGATAAAGAGGAGGAACTTCAGATAACAGTACCCAAAAGCATCAAGCTTGAAAAATATGAAACCTGCGCTCTTATTTCTGTTATTACACTAAGCAGTATACTACTGTAATACCGTTATTATCACACTACACAAAGTGTATTGTAATACCGTTATTATTGTAATATTACGCACATAACGATATTGTATATTATCTTAATTACAATTAACACTTTATATTATAGAACCTAGGTTCAAACTTCAGAGAAACGCACATTACGCTACATTGTAGGCATTGAAATATAAAGATGCCAATTAAAGAGTAACGCTTATTAATCTTAAAAGGTTAAAATGTAATATAAACGAGCAAATTCGGTAACAACCATTCAAGTAAACATCGTGCCAAAAGTATTCGCGATTTCCAGGAAGTACTTTATATATTTCATGCATCCACTGAAATAAAATTTGACCACCCTTAATTTGTAAGACAGAGAACAAAATGACGTTGTAAGATTGTACAGAAATGATTGAATATAAAAACTTATTTTTCCGCAATATCTGCCAAGCTGATATGACAAGACAAGTTATTCAGATTTTTCAGTGTGTGAACATTTCTCAATAGCTCTATAATTAGTCCCAGAAAATTCTAATGAAAAAGTGAAAATGCATAAAATGTCGGGAAACAAGGAATAGGCACGATGTTGTATATATTGTAATACAAAACTTCCAAATTTAGTAGAAAGTAACATTTATCACGTACCAAGGTCTCCATATAAAACGTTCAAACTCGGTATAGAGTAGCACTTATCATATGACATAGAAATAGTGTGATATATAAATTCAAATTGATTTAAGAGTAACATGAATTAGCACAGAAGGTATATATACATATTGTAATATCAACGTTCTAATTAAGTTACATTTATCACATTACAAAGAAAAAATATTGCTTGATATACGTTCAAATTTAGAAAGAATAACAATCATCACATTTAAAAACTATATATTGTAATATAAAACGTTGTAATTAAATAGGGTGACACTTATCACACTACAAAGTATATACGTTAATGAATAAATTCAAATTCATTAAAGAGTAACATGAATAATCCTGAGCTATATACTAGTTCAAATTCAGTGAAGAGTTACACTTATTACATTACAAAGTCTGTCTTGCAACACCGGAGTAACTTCATCACACTATACATCTATATGCATGTCATTATCGAATTCAGGCGTAATATAAGCCAAATTGCATTACATAGCGAATAGTTTAATGCTACACATTATGGACAGATGACGTAATGGAGACAGTACTCACGCTGTACGTAATGTGTGAGAGAGGACAGATCGAGGGGAATATATATCATATTCAAAATCATAAGATGTTTTGTTTGTTACACATTTAGAACTTATTAAACGAAGAAAATGACCAGAAAACAGATTCAAACTCCAGATGAACACTTACTTCTATGCGTGATTACAATGTATTGTTATAGGGAGGTTAAAGTTTAGCGGAGTAATATTTACAATGTAGTACACAATACGGTATCTATAGTAATATGCAAGTTCAAATTCAGCAGAGTAACATTTATTACACCTATGGTATCTGTAGTAATATATAAGTATATATTGAGTAAAGAACAGCCATTTTATATAACCTTTTTATAGCTCAAAGTGTAATGTTATACGAACATTCAATCCTTATAGGTCACCTGGTCAGTGTAAACAGCCTTTAGAGGAGTATTGACATACAACAGTAGTTGTGTGTATATTTAATTATGCTAATAACACTGTCCGTCTTGATGTCTATCCGCTTTATACGATATTTTTAATGTACATGGATTTACTTATCTCTGTACTGTCTGAAACGACCTCTGCAACGTCTAACACTATATTTGTTGCGGCTAATACTCGTTTATAATTGTTATTACTTCCTCTGTCATGTCTAATACGATCTTTGTAGCGTCTAATACGATCTTTGTAGCGTCTACTACGATCTTTGTAGCGTCTAATACGATCTTTGTAGCGTCTAATACGATCTTTGTAGCGTCCAATAGATCTTTGTAGCGTCTAATACGATCTTTGTAGCGTCTACTACGATCTTTGTAGCGTCTAATACGATCTTTGTAGCGTCTAATACGATCTTTGTAACGCCTAATATTATCTTTGTTACGCCTAATACGATCTTTGTAGCGTCTCATACGATCTTTGTAACGTCTAATACGATCTTTGTAGCGTCTAATACGATCTTTGTAACGTCTAATACGATCTTTGTAGCGTCTAATACGATCTTTGTAGCGTCTAATACGATCTTTGTAGCGTCTAATAGATCTTTGTAGCGTCTAATATTATCATTGTAACGCCTAATTCTATCTTTGTAACGCCTAAAACTATCTTTGTAGCGCCTAATATTATCTTTGTAACGCATAATATTATACTATCTTTGTAACGCCTAACACTATCTTTGTAACGCCTAATAATATCTTTGTAACGACTAATACTGTCTTTGTAACGTCTAACACTATCTTTGTAACGCCTAATAATATCTTTGTAACGACTGATAATATCTTTGTAACGCCTGATATTATCTTTGTAACGCCTAACACTATCTTTGTAACGCCTATAAATATCTTTGTAACGACTGATAATATCTTTGTAAGGACTGATAATATCTTTGTTACGCCTATAAATATCTTTGTAACGCCTATAAATATCTTTGTAACGACTGATAATATCTTTGTAAGGACTGATAATATCTTTGTAAAGCCTAATGCTATCTATGTAACGACTGATAATATCTTTGTAACGCCTAATACTATCTTTGTAACGCCTGATATTATTTTTGTAACGACTGATAATATCTTTGTAACGCCTAATATTATCTATGTAACGCCTGATAATATCTTTGTAACGCCTAATACTATCTTTGTAACGCCTGATACTATCTTTGTAACGTCTGATATTATCTTTGTAACGACTGATAATATCTTTGTAACGCCTAACACTATCTTTGTCACTCCTAATATTATCTTTGTAACGCATAATATTATCTTTGTAACGCCTAATAATATCTTTAAAACGCCTAATAATGTCTTTGTAACGCCTAATATTATCTTTGTAACGCCTAATAATATCCTTGTAACGCCTAATATTTTCTTTGTAATGCCTATTATTTTCTTTGTAATGTCGAATGTGTTCTATTTAACGGCTATACCTTGTTACGTTTAATACTATCTTTGTATCGTCTCATACAAAGAAACGTAGTCTGAAAGTGACACGAAAGTAAGACAAATACGAGCTGCAGTTTCCATAATTTAAAATTTCATACATCAGAAAACTTTTGTTCAAATTAATGCCTTTTTGCGGGTTACAATAAGAATAGCATAACCCAACAACCAATACGGTTTGTTCGATTCCCTTTTTTCCTTTTCATTTCAAAGAAGAAAAATATTTGACTGGAGAAATTATGGCTGAAATTTTTGAACAGGAATCACAGGCATGTTCTAGCTTTCAACCGTAGATAGTTTTTCTTATTTGCTTTTACAAAAAGCACTCACTGAAACTGTCCCGGATGGAAGCTTACCCTAATATCACCCAGGGAGCGGGTGCGTTTAAGGAGCGAGCTGTTCTATAAAAAGATGTTACACTTTCTAGCTATTTAGCTGCGCTAACGTCACCGTACCGAGTCCAAAAGGAAGTGTAATCTAACCGTGAAACTCTTTAAGGGCGTTTCCCGTCGTAGACACGATAAGTATTGTCTAGAGCTCACCTTAATGCTCTGCTCATGTCGACAGTGACTAAGGACAAACACAATCACACTACAGGGGAATAATAGTGCGACACGAAACATTGATCTATCCATGTAACTATAAATAAAAGCAGTATTGTAAACAGAACGTTCCGGCTGAGTGAACACGCTTCTTTATACCATAGAATACGTCCGATTAAGTCAATGTTTAACCAAACTTTAAAGGAAGACAGAATCTGTGTTTTTGTTTTATCTAGCACCGGGAATTTGCAGCTTGTAAGATCGTGTTGTGTGAATGTTTGTAAATGTCAATTGCATTAAGGTTTCCATGTAATCTCACAGGTGTCGATTACTGGAAGTCCCGTACATGTGAACACACATGCATCAAGTCTGTTACCAAATCGATTATTATAGACTAATATAGGAAGACAACTGTTATGCGACCAGGACATTGTCATAACGTCAAACACAAAAATAGTGTTCTAGTAACATTATGTCCTGGTGTTGGTAATTTTTCTTGTCATCTGCTAAGACTAAGAAATTGTTGGACCCAGGCACACCCATATCAAGAGAGACGAATCTGTTTAATATATACCCAACTTGTAACACATATATAGATTGCACTTTCTATCCACTTTTAGGAAATTTATATATATATCGAATAAAAAGCAAAATATTTAAAGGAAAAAAATGCGGTTTTTAAAGAGGAAGCTTGCACAAAAACACGTGATATCGGCCCCACCCATTTGTGAGCTTAACTATTGATCGGCAGAGAAATGCACGTTTAATTAACTCCCTCTTAATTAATTGGAAAAAAAACATCTACTTACCTGAAGTACCACGAGAATAGTAAACCATGTCATTGTGTAGAACATCAGTGAAATGGTCTATGTATCCACACCCTTGATTCCAATCAAGAAGGGGTCCTGCCACCCAACACACTCTGTGGCTTAGTAAGACCTACGGGTGACTGCTTACGAGACTATAGCAGTTAAATGGGTGTTGGTGACAATCTGATAGGCCGGTGTCTAGGCAAATTGTGACTCGATATGACAGCATCACGGTTGACTGGGGTAGACTATAAGTTTCCTGCGTTTCGAAGTGTAGCAGGAAAGAAAGAAAAAAATATTTCTTTTATTTTTGAAGATTTTTTAACACTACATATTACATTTACATTTCATTTTTCCATACACATACACACACTCATTCCATTTCTAATCATTAGCAAAGACTAGAAATGGAATGAGTGTGTGCATGTGTGTGTATGTAGGAAACCTTTTTCTGTTCAGGTTCGACCAGAAACGTGTACATGACATTTTGTGACTAATAGCTCAAATAGGCATTCATAACTTATATTTAATTTGGTCGAAAACCACTTCGTATTTTGCATACGGAATCATATAACTTTAAATGAGGCCCATTAAAAGGAAGGGATGAACAAGGTTGTTGACGAAAATGTGTTTTTGTTTTGACCTGCGGAAAATGATCTAAAAATGTGATCTATGGGCATGCACAAGGTCATCCTTACTTTCTTTTTGAATTCGACGTGCATAGCATTTTGCGATTGGATCGGTTTGTCCGTGCAATGATTCAAGAATGTTGCTGTCAAAAATATATGGAAACTTCTTAGGAGACACATTCGTTTTACAACATAAATAGTTAATTACTTCACAAATTTCCAATTATGTTTCCATTTTGGCGGGGTGTCTTGCTGAACTTTTTCACTACTTCCTACTACGTACAGGGTTTGGTTTGACAGATGTGCATCTTACATAGGATAGTCCAAGTTTTAGTTGATACTTTATGTTCCTTCGTAACTTAAGATGATGAAACGAACATTGATTTGTTTGTTATTCGACTCCTTGCGTCAAAAGTATCTACGAGTATTACAACTTCTTAACGGATGTAAACTAGCACGACGTACGCAACTTCTTAACAGATGTTAACTGGCACGACGTACGCAACTTCTTAACGGATGTAAACTAGCACGACGTACGCGGTTACTGAAATGATTACAAGTACATTTCCATACGAACTATTGATAATGCAAAAGGCCGATACACTACACCATACATTTGTCTCCATCTCTTGTTGTAGACTGTTCAAGTGCACTGTTAGCATGAACACATCCACGCTAACGCATGAATTGATAATCACATCACTGAAACAGTATTTTTACATAAGGTACACAAAAATGTTCTTTATTTAACATTTCATGTGGAATTTGTGTCGAGTCTGACTCCAATCATCACCTCGTCAACTTCACTATAGCATTATTCTAACCTCATATTCCGTCTTTGCGTATTGCAGAGTTATCTTCTCTTGGGAGCAGGTATTGATTGTTACGTCATTGGTTTGTGTGAGAAAATTACGTCGTTTTCTCAAAAATTGATGACGTTACTCTCACAAACAAGTGACGTAACAATCAATACCTGCTCCCAAGAGAAGATAGCTCTGCAATACGCAAAGACGGAATACAAGGCGATGAAAATGTTCCCAGATATGTTGGTGTAAATCTATTAGTGTTGTGTTATTTTCTTTGTTAGCCTGACGTCATTCCAATTGTTGGCGCAATAATATTTTGTTGAAAATCTTGCAATCATCATGGATTAACATCCTTTTTTGTTTGCAAACAACCTGAGTCCCACAACCAAAGGCGGACAAAATGAGGTGAATGGACTAATTATGTAACGGTACTGTGGCGTCAATTTGAACTCATCGATTTTATCAGTTTCTAAGCTTCGCTCATCACACATATGTAATGTAAGTTTTCGTGTAATATATCAAGAAAATACACGTATCAGTATAGTAGTATAACATTTCATTAGATATAGGATGCAAACGTTATATCACTGTAGTTTTAGAAATACTACGCGAGTATGAATGTTGTATGTATACAAGACGGTTCTGTTCAAAGCTAAATAGATCTAACCCTACCCACGGTATATTGTACACTGCATGCGTATCATTCGGTAAACAACACGTACACACGTGTTATTAGCGGAACATAATTGTAAGTGGTATAAATCGACATAGCACCGCAAGGATAGCACATACCTGGGTATTCCTAACAATGAATTGAAACAGGCCAGTGAATAACAATGGGTAAAGGAATCTGAATGGTTCAGGGTTGAGTTAATGTGTAGAAGGTCTGCGTAGATTTTAACTTTCCATGGACCATTTAGTACGCAGATTGGGCAAGGAACGTAGATCAAGTGGCAGTGAAAGACAGACGTGGCGCATACTTTGCGCTGTACATTGTTACCATTGATGGCACCTGCATATACACAAATGTGTGACGGTGTAGGCATATTCTTACATCAAGTCTGGGATATGTGCGTCGCAAAAACATTAATCGAAAATCCTAGCCACCCGATTCTATAGAGCATAACGAAATGTTATCTTTAACGAACTACCCGCATGCGAGACAAGTAAGATCGCGCGTTCTTCATAGCGCAGCGAGCAAGCCAATGGAAAGTTTGCTATATTTCACTGTGATAGGTATCTCAATTTTCCACCGTACGCATTCCTGTGGGTACAAACTGTGTCGCTCTTCTGACCTCTTTAATTTTGTGTTCAAATAAGGCTGGATTTAAATCCAGTAAAAGTCTTTCATTTTCACTCCCAGACATCTCGTCGATCTTTCACCACTGCATCGTTTTTTACATCTAGAAATGGCTTACAACTTAGTTGCATAATATGTATGACGGTTTCGACATTTTTAATAAACTTTTACTTTTCGAGATACTTACATCCCTGTTTTCCCTTCCAACAGTGTGACATGACGCAGCTGTTTCGATATCCATGAGCAGCCTTGCTCGAAATAGAACAGTTTCTATGAAAGGTGTTGAATAATGACTGACTAGTTCATGACGCGTTGCTTTGAGAGTTGTATACTTTTGAAAACTAGGGACACGTTTTATGATAGCCATTATGATTTCGTTGAACAATATTCTACTTTTTGTGTGACATGAATGGCGACATTTTTATTACTCTTATAAACTTCCTCGATGTTTCATACTCAATGCCAAGTTTCTCCATGTCACGTTTTGACATTGCTTGGTTTTTCCTTGATTGGCACTGTTGGTATCTACGATGAAGCAAAAGACGCCTTCTCTTCTGGAACCCCTGGTCTTTATCTGTCTAAAGATATCCTTGTAAATAATTGTTTTGTTCATGAACTTCCCTAGTTTCGTCGATTCATAGTTCGAATTACGGTATTTTTTCCACTTCAGTATTCTGTCGTGTTGGTCGTATTGTGGAGTGAGTGAAATCGAGGTTTTACAACCGCCATGCCAGAATTTCAAAAGTTGTTTTTGGGGGAAATCTTGCTAATCAATATGACGAAAGAGATGCTACCCCATCTCACTTTGTACATCACTTTGGATTGACTAAACGGGTGTTCGTATTGGTCCCGATATAATTGCCAATTTGGCTATTGACACTCGGGCTAGATAAGCAAAAAACGGTATGCCGGGTGGCGAATTCCGGAAAGTTTTCATGTGGCGATAGTAATTGTGCGTAGACGGTTGTGCATATCCGGATAGGACTAGGAACGATAGATGTAAGTTTTGGTCATTAATAAAACTAAGTGAATGGATAATTGACTTAATTTTACAATGTGTATCAGTATATACACGTAAGAAAACGTGTTTTGTTACTTATTATTACAAATTATAATTCGTTGTGTTGCTAGGTGTTCCGAATAGCCGAGTAAGAGGATGCATGGTTGTTAGGATACCGGAATGTTTGAAAACCGCATTTCTAATGTATTACCGGGTTGTCTTTATGTCATATAAATTTAAGCTGAGAAATCATTTGTAAAAGTGATATATTTCAGTATTTGTTTTGAAATTCGCAGTTACGTAAAGTAAACATCACACGGAAAACTACGTTGACGTAACTTAATGTCGTTGTCATGGTAGAGTTTTCCCGAGATATCGTTGTGCATTTGTTTGGTTTTATAAGAAGCAATGTTGCAGCAAAATGTTGAAAGTTACAGCTGCATGAAGGTAAACGATGAGCATGTTTTTGTGGGTGTTTTTTTTAAGTGTACACTCTCAAATCTCATGTATGGCAGGTGGTTATTTTTTTCTAGTGTATATGAACACGGACTTAGATAATTCCGTGATATGAACAAGCATATGGTAGCACTGATCCTTGCATGAGTAACCTAATATAATATTACGTAAATATACATAATATCAGGCCTTAGATCCGTGATAATATACTACAGTATATAAATATAAATCAAATTAAAATGTCTCTTTAAAAGCTTTTTTAGTCATTCCAATGATTTTGTACTACTATTGGACAGCGAATGCTGTAAAATTTCAGTGTTTTTAGAGATAGAAAAAAGTATTTTGGAAAAATATTGATTTTTCTTAAAAAATTACACATATTCCCCAATTGTCTAAGTTGAAAATTGTCAAATTCCTTCAAGAACAAAATATTCAGATATATCTTCAAATTTTAACTTACCTTACATAATGACCAAATATTTAGTCGGAAACTATTTGAAATGTAGTGATTTTATCAAGTATGGCAAGTGACAATATAGGAGTGATAATACAAAGAAAACACACACACACACCAGTTTTACAAAAACAAACAGTATTTAAGGGGGGGGGGGGGG